CTTCCTCTCTGTAAAAAAGCAACAAAATAATTTTTTAAAAATTCCCATGTGATATATGTATTCTTTGGAAGTTTAAAAGCACTTGAGAACTTATGCCCAAAGGTAGCAGCTACTCTTAGCTGAATTTTACCGCATATACAATTCTTCCCTCACTCCAATGTAGCAAAAACCTGACTTTTCATGTAAAATACCTAACTTTTTAATGACAGTCACAAATTCATACTTGTTTAAGTATTCAAGCCAGATATGTCTTTAGTCTGTCAATCATCAGTTTGCAGCCTGGTTTCCAGGTATGCTATAGCTCACTGTATGTGTGTTTTGGATACCCTAATAACTTGTAGAAGACTGGTTTATTCTTCAGCTTGATTGTTCTGTCTGTCCTTCCAAGCCTTATCCTCATGGCCATGGTAAATTGGAACCAAGGCTTCTCTAACATGCGTGCTTGAGGATTTGGATTTGGATAGTTCACTTTCCTCTTTCTGTTATTCATTTACTGCTTTTTTTGTTCTTATTACTTTGTGTTTTTTCTAGTTTGCAAACTGTTTGAAGAGATACTTGCAGATAGTAAAGGGCTGAACAGCAAAAGCAACAGGGTTAACATACCCCTTAGAATCCAGTGTAATATAAAATAGAAGTATGAAGCTTCTTGGGTATCAGGGAAGAGACACCTGCTGTTTGAGCATTGTTGAACTCCTTGCATTAGTGACTCCCATTGATTTTGTACAGAGAGGAAAGGAGAGAAATAGAGAGCTAGAAACATTAATGAGAGCGTCATCGATCAGCTGCCTCCTGCACACCCCCTTCTGGGAATATGCCCGCAACCAAGGCACATGCCCTTGACTGGAATCGAACCCGGTACCCTTCAGTTCGCAGGCTGATGCTCTACCCACTGAGCCAAACCGGCTGGCAGAGTTTTAATAGATTGAGTTATTTCAAATAACTCAATAATCATTGGCTATTATAGTACCAGTGAAATAATAGAATTTGACCTGTAATGATTATAGTTTTTCTTCCTCCTGTAGGAAACCAATGAATGCTGCTAATCTATACTAAGAGAGAAATATGGTAATTGACCATCACTTTGTGATGCACACAGCCAATCAGGAGGGAATATGCAAATTATCAGGACAAAGGTGGCAACCACGGAGTCAGCCATAGCAGGAGGGAAGCTTAGTTTGCTCCAGCGACAGAGGAAGCCAAACTTCCCGCCCGCCTGAGCTGGCTGCCGAGGGAGGGGCCTGCAAACTGCCCTCAGCTCCTTACCCAGGCTGGCCATGCCACCATTGGGGTGAGGGTCCCCACTGGGGAGGGGCGTGGCCAGCCTGCAAACAGCCATCAGCCCCTCACCCAGGCTACCCAGGCTCTCCAGCAGGGTCCCCCACCCCGAAGGGGTTGTGGCCAGCCTGAAAACAGCCTCAGCTCCTTGCCCAGGTTGCCCCACCCCCCAAGGGAACCCCTACCCTGATTTGGGACACCCTTCAGGGCAAATCAGCCAGCTTCCACCAGTGTACCAGGCCTCTATATTAATAAAAGGGCAATATGCTAATTAGACTGGGAGACCTCCCAGACCTTCTGGACAAAGCCATGGTGGTGGGGCCGAGGTAGAGGTGGTTAGGGGCCAAGAGAGGAGGGAAGTTGTGGGTGATCAGGCCAGTGGGAAAGGGGGTGGTGCATTTGGGGTGATAGGCCAGTAAGGGAGGGGGCAGTTGGGGGTGAGTGAGCAGGCTGGCGGTGAAAGGAGGGAGGTCAGGGGGTTGAGCAGGCCAGCAGGCAGAGTGGTTAGGGAAAATCAGGCAGGCAGGCAAGTGAGCAGTTAGGAACCAGCAGTCTCAGATTTCGAGAGGGATGTTCGACTGCTGGTTTATGCCCAATCAGGCTTAAACCGGCAGTCAGACATCCCTTGAGGGGTCCTAGATTGGAGAGGGTGCATGCCAGGCTGAGGAACACCCTCTCCCCCACAGTGGAAAAAAAATGTACCAGGCCACTAGTACATTTAAAATGTTATATAATTAATTTTTTTTAAGAACTGTAAATAATACCCTAATGTTTATATAATAGTGAACAGCTATATTACGCTTGTTAGGACTTACTATAATCCAAATAGAAGTTAAGATTGTAGATATAACTTTACAATTTTTTGTTAAAGTTTGGTTTCAGGTCCCTTTGACATAGCAATAATTTTAAAGTGAATTAGAAACAACATCAGCACATTCTTTTAACCTACTTACATAGCTCTTGGCTGGATAAGAACATTATCCTTAAGGATTTCTTTAAGGAGAATGTGAAAACTGTTTCTGAACAGATGATCGTGGGAAAATAATTGATTTACAAAAGATGGGTCTTGATAGCAACTGTTAATTCAGTGCTGTAATTTATAAAGTGGTCATGACATGCCTAGTATATAGTTCAAAGCTTTAGATTTGATCTTAATTTGGAACATTTTCTTAGTTTTAGGTTTTAATGGCTACTGCAGGTTTTCTGTACTTGTGTATAGGTTTTCCATTAGATTTGTGTTCCTGCCTGGAGCTGACAAACTTTCAAGATTTATTTCATTTATTTTAATCCCACTGTTGAAGGCATCTATCTAAATGAACTTTCACTTTGTGTTTTTCAAAGATATGCCATAGAAAAATTAGTACCCAATGTGAAATAAAAGAGTATTATTCTACACCTACACTTAAAATGGTTAGTGAAACTTGTGTTTGATCTATTAATGATGTCAGTAGGAAAACAGCAAGTCTATATAAGTCCAGACCAAAAGTTCAATATCACAGATGTTTAGACATTTTGTGGACTCTACTCTAGAAAAAAAGATATTTGATTCCTCCCCTCCTACAATTTTTTGGTCCTCTAAACACATTTTTAGTTGTTTCTAGTTCTGTATTTCTCCTTCTGCTCTCAGTCCCATCTTAATGCCATTTTTCTTACCCTCATAAACTCAGGCTTTTTATTTTCCCATTTATATAGTATTTTTTGTGTTTCTTTTTATTTTTTATTTTTTAATATCCCACAGGAGTAAGTGCTGTCTCATTGATAATCTCTTACTACCTGTTAAAGGATGAGAATTTTATTTGTCATTTACTAGATTTGGGAATGAAAAGCTGTAGTCATAGAATTTGCTAATACTGATTTTTACTTAATCTAGTACAGTGGGGAAAAAGTTAGCAGTATTCATTTATAAAAGAGTGATGTAGTTTTTAGGATTTTTTGAAAAGTGATATACAGCCATTTGTTGTGGTAGATTATCATGAAGGTAACTACATATTTTATTAGTAAGTGATTTACTGCAAATCCAGTCTATTTTTCCTGGTCAAGTATGAAAGCTGCATGATTCAAACTCAAATGTGCAACTAACTGATTGTGTAAGTGAAGCTTTGACTTTTTCTTTAATGGACTGCAAATTGTGTTGGCAAAACAATGTCAGATGTTACATGTACTTGGAATAAAATGTCACTTGCTAGTTTGCTAAGAGATGGCTAGATTTATGATTAAGTGAACATAGGTATTTTATTGATAATATGGAAGGCCTTTTTGAAAGCAACTTAAGTCAGACTAGAGCTTACTACACTGAGTGGCCAGCTTATTATCTCTGAACACATAATATGGCCACTCAGTGTGTGTGTGTGTGTGTAGGTATGTATTAGAGGCCCAGTGCATGAATTCAGACCCTGGCCAAGGGGAGGGAATATGGCTGGTTGGCTGGCCTGCCTGCTAGTCGAACTCCTGGTCGAGGGGATAATTTGCACATTAGGCTTTTATATAGAATATACTCTGAGTGGCCATATTATTATGTGTTCAGAGATCATAATAATCTGGCCACTCAGTGTATGTGTGTGATGGTATTAAATTGAATCTAGGGAAATTTTCAAAATTGCTTTCACCTCTGAACTGAGATATAAGATTAAGTTTGTACATATTAGCCTTTTACTATTTGTGTTGCTAAGATCTTTGTCAAGTTATTCACGTTACCAGTATTAGAGGGTTTGAGGGCACATTGAGGCTTAGATGACATAGTTGCATCCTGTTAGATGTATAGTACATCTAAATTGGTGAACTAGAAATCACATGGGCGGTGTTAAGGTCAAGTTACTCTATGCCTTGTACATTTGAAATCTCTGGTTGTGAATAAACTTTACAATGCTTTGAATGGCACTTTTGATGGTGGTGATGTTAGCTTTCAACAAAAAACAAAAAACGAATGAGACTAAACCATCATAACCTTGAAACCTTTTACAATATTGCTACTGAAAGTGTTAAAATAAATAAATAAATAAATAAATAAGGATGCTTGAGCTTGTCCTGGTTGGTATAGGATGTTGCACCGGTTTTAATGGACACCTGTGAATCTTGGGAAACCCATTTCTATTAAGGTGCTTAACTATTCAAATAGACAGCCATTTTATTTCATACTGGTAACTTTGATTTTAAATTGTAAACTATTACAAATAAATCGATCAAGACTGAAAATAACTTTGACATCTACAAATGCTAATATTCTGAAAAATATAGCTAAAGCATTCCTCACACAACTACCCTAAAAGTTAATTATTCCAAAGTGTGGTTTTTGTGCTTACACTGCACATTCATATACTGTATATGTAAACAGGTTTGTTACACACAAAATTTACATAAATGAAATCTGCACTGAATATAGCTCTTGCAATTTTTCTTCCCCCCCTTTTCAGTTAAAATAATGAAATTGCATGATCTATAATGTTCAAAGGAGTGATTGATGTCTGCTTAATCTTATCTCTCAAAAGCCTTAAAAGTACTTACTAGGAAACAATATAAACTGAGAAGAGGAAATTAAATATATACCTAAGAAAATAACCAGTATGAAATACTTTTTAAAAAGGGTCATTCTTATCTTAAAAATTGCTAGCCTTCAGTTGTTTTTTGATTTCTTGATCATTTTTTATCATAAGCTAGTTTATATAAACCACCCTTTTTTAAAAACTTTAAAGTTTTTATCTTACCAACTTTTAACTTTTTTCTTTTAGAACAAATTCTGTACAACATAAAACAAGAGTATAAACGCATGCAGAAGAGAAGACATTTAGAAACTAGTTTTCAACAGACGGATCCATGTTGTACTTCTGATGCACAACCACATGCATTTCTTCTCAGTGGACCAGCTTCGCCAGGTAATAGTAAACTAAAAGGAAATGTTACTTAGTATAGGAAAAAGTAATCCGTTAGACACTTAACTTTCTATTTCTTCCCTTTATTAACAAAAAACAAAAATCTCAACATTTATTCAAGTAATTCATGATCACTTAAAAAACATGGTACAAAAATAAGTAAATGCTGTGCTTTGAAGCTTCCATTTAAAAAAAAAAAAAGTAAAGTATACCATGTGCTTCTCTGTTAGGTACATATGTACTTTGCCATCGCTGAATACTATGCCATTTTATGGATTTCCCATGATTATCAAATTATTAATGAATTAGACTCAGAATTTCTGCTATAGTATTTACAAAAATTTGTCTTTTGTACATTATGCACTTATCCTGTTAGGATAGATTCCAAAACATATATTATTTTTATCCAATGTTGTTTTATACCTAATTTTTAGTTGGGGGGAGTAGTTTGCAAATACACTTTACAAAAAGAGCAGAAAAATGAAGGCTATTTGAAATAAAGGGGAAGTAAATCTTCTTACTTAAAAGAGCCGTCAAAAGTAGTTCTTACCTTTAGTAAACTTCTCAGCAAAATAGTCTTTCTTGTGACAATAGTGCCTGCCGCCTTTCTCTCCCCTCCCAGCAGGGATAGGAAAATCTGATAGAATTGAAAAAAAAAAAAAAAAAAAAAAAAAACATTGAAATTTTACATTCACTGTAAAAACAGTGAAATAAAATTAGATTAGGAAACATGAACTTGTTCAAAACTAAATTATTCAGCACTCCTTCCAGTTTGGGAGGCTAGGTATAAGTGGATGAAAATGTAGTCTTGGGAGGTAAGTGTAGAGACTAGACTATATCAGAGGATGAAGATCATAATCATTCATTAGTCTATTTATTTCATAGATCAATTGACTGGCAGGTTCAACTAACAAAACTGGGAATTTGAAAGTAAACATAGTGTAGTTATGCATTGCTTTAGGTGGTATAAATAAAGTTCTGGGATACTTTATTCTTGTTATATAGCCACAGCTCTAAGAAGCAGTTAACTGGTCCCAGTCATGCAGGCTGTAAGTCACAAATGAAAAGAGGAATTGGGGCTACACCAGGGACAGGTATACATAGCAGGAAAAACGATTGGTAGTAAATCTTTGTATTTGTGTGTGCATAAAATACTTGTAGCAATGTTACAATGGATGCTTGTCAATCCTGAGTTCTCAAAAATATTTATTTTAGGTGTTCTTTTTAAGATATGAGGAATGATATTTTTTTTTCTAATATATTTTGATTTTGTACAGAGAGGAAGGGAGAGAGATAGTTAGAAACATCGATGAGAGTCATCGATCAGCTGCCTCTTGCACACCCCCTACTGGGGATATGCCCGTAACCAAGATACATGCCCTTGACCATAATCGAACCCGGGACTCTTCAGTCCCCAAGCCCGACTTTATCCACTGAACTAAACTGGTTTCGGCAGGAATGATATTTTTTTAAAATAAAATTGCCTTAAGAGAAATACATTCTGAAGAAATCTTTTTTCCCCCTCAATTTTCATTGATTTTGAGAGAGAGAGAAAGAGAGAGACATCGATCAGTTGCCATACATGCCCCAACCAGGAATGCAACCCACAACCTTTTTGTTATACAGGACAATACGCCAACCAAGTGAGCCACCTAGCCAGGGCTGAAGAAAGAAATCTTGTATCAAGCATAGCTATCTAGTTATGCCAAGTGGCTTTTTAGGTCAATAATCTTTAAGGACTTTGAACGATTAAATTCAATATTTAATATTAATAATATATTCTCACTATTTTTACAAAGTGGTCTCCTAGCTAATATCACTAATTTAAAAAAACAAACTTTATTAAGTTTTGTTTGTATTTTGTAGTTTTCTCCACTCATCTTCAGACTTTTTCTCTTAATATTTGATTGCATTCATCTTGCTGTTTTTCCAATCACAGCAAAATATTCAAATGAGACCTCTACCATTACAAAACGCTTTTCTATGGCAGCCCTAAATCAGTTGCTTTTCTTTGTTCTTCATGTTTTACATAGGGACTTCATCTGCGACATCCTCACCGTTAAAAAAAGAACAGCCCTTATTCACTCTAAGGCAGGTTGGGATGATTTGTGAACGTTTGTTGAAAGAACGTGAAGAGAAAGTTCGAGAAGAGTATGAAGAAATACTGAACACAAAACTTGCAGGTATGAGTTTATTTAGTCTCTCAGAAACTCACCATAAGAAATGCATTATTTCCCAGTTATACTTCACGTCAATTAAATTAACCCTTTCTGTATAGACTGGTATAATAAGTTCTCTAAGAACCAGAGAATTTCAGTTCACGAAAGGAAATTAATCTTTCTGTAGTTTATGGTCCTCTGTAACTTAAAGACATAGTATTTATTAGCCATATAGATCAGCACGGGTATTAATGAACTAGATTTATTTTTTCAGATATAAATTTGATTGGGTTTTTGGGCTTTATTTCTTTCATGATAACTTTGACTAGAAACTTGAAATAATTTAACTTACATCAATTTAGAGTATCAAGCTGCAGCAGCCTTTTTTTTTTTTTTTTAAGTATACTTTCATTGATTTTTAGAGGGATAAAGAGATAGAAACATCTAAGAGAGAGAAATATAGATCCAGCTGCCTCCTGCACACCCCATAATGGGGATTGGAGCCGGCATCCTGAGTACGAGACCTGACCAGAAATTGAACTATGACCTCTTGGTTCCTGGGTTGATGCCCAGCCATTGAACTACACTGGCTGGGCTGCTGCAGTCTTAATTATCAATAAAACAATTTTTTAAAAGTAAAATTTGCAGTAAATACAATGTTACATGTGATAACGTAATCAGAATCTTCCCACCATATTTTTATGCCACAGATTTTACTGGATAGCAATATTATAAGCTTTTTTATTCTTAAGGAGTTGAATCAAGGTGCTAATATAACACCAGGGGTTTTAATCCAGCATCTAGAAGGATTCAGGAATCTGGAGAAGGACCTATGTGTAAATTATTAAGAGTCCATGCCGGGACCGGTTTGGCTCAGTGGATAGAGCGTCGGCCTGCGGACTGAAAGGTCCCAGGTTCGATTCCGGTCAAGGGCATGTAGTACCTTGGTTGCCGGCACATCCCCAGTGGGGGGTGTGCAAGAGGCAGCTGGTCGATGTTTCTCTCTCATCGACATTTCTAACTCTCTGTCCCTCTCAATTCCTCTCTGTGCAAAATCAATAAAATATAGTTTTTAAAAAAATTAAAAATTAAAAAAAATGAAGAGTCCAGAGAAGAAACATAATTTTGGAAGGCATTTTGGGGAGCCAAAGAAGACTTAGCTGAAGGAGTCAAGTTCTCTTTGTCTCAGGATCCCTTGTTCCTTATTAATACAATTTGTCTGTCCTAAGGCAAGGTAGATAAACACATCAAAGGCCAAGGTTTAGTACACAGAATCCATAGTCAGATTGGGGAAAACTGCCATTGGCTGTTAGGTGTTTGGCCAGCAGGAGGCAATAGCATGTAGATTGAAATGCCCTCAGCTGTCTTGCAGTAAGCAATCATTTATGCATCCTTTTCAGGTTTGGGGAAATGCCCTCAGCCATTCCACGTGATTGAGCCCTGCTGACATGCTGGAATTGGCTTCCGGCACGAATATAGCCATAGCCTGGCAGGAATGGCTCTGTAGGTTGAGCACAAACCCATGGAACCAAGAAGTCCCTGGCTCAATTCCCAGTCAAGACACATGACTGGGCTGTGGACTCAATCCCCAGTAGGGGGAGAGAGCCAAATGATGTCTCTGTCATTGGTGCATCTATTTCTCTATCTCTTGCCCTTCCTCTCTCTAAAATCAATAAAAACATTTTTTAAAAGGCAAGATAATTTGTTATATAAGACATCTTTTTCTATGACATCTGATTAGATAACAGGTGGATTTCGAGGAGGAGGGATATATCATATTTTTTAAGTATTGTCTTATTTCCTCTCATTACAGGAAATTTGCCATTTAATAGACCACTTATAATTTCAGAGTAGAAAGACATCTTTTTATTTCAAGCCCTTTATTTTTAATAGGTTAAGAAATAAGCCTTACCCAGCCTATACATGAGGTATTGTGCTTTAGACTAAAATGTGGATTTTCATATGATACATTATCATTATTACTGAAATTATATGTCTGATTAAATACCAACTTAGAATTGTTTCACTATACATGCATACAGGATTTTCAGAATATTTACAAGCCATGTAATTTACGTATACCTTTACTTATAGAACAATATGATGCATTTGTGAAATTTACACATGATCAAATAATGCGACGATATGGAGAACAGCCTGCTAGTTGTAAGTATTACATATATGAACTAAAAATAAGACAAGTCTTTTAAGGAGAAGACATTTATTATAATTATCTTCATACTTAAAAAGAGAATGAAATAGAAAATGATGGGAAATTCCTGGTGGAAATAGGACATTTTACTAAGGCTTGTTACTTAAGTACGTAGGGCAGTGATTTTTTTCAACCAGTGTGCGGAAAGAATTTTTAACACATGGAATATCTGACTAGTCATGGGTACTGACCTTTCCCCTTAGATTGTCAGATAAAATAATTACAGCATAATTACAGCAGCCATTGGTGTGAATGAGCCAAAATTATACCTCTTTTGTCTGATAGACAAAAAATGTATTTTTTTGGTCTGCTGCAGAATTTTAGTAATTAGTTTATGTATGCCATGAGAATTGCTGATCTGGGGCAATATTGGGGATAGAGATGTTACGTGTTTGAATTTTGAATTGGACTTTGCACTAATTCTCCTTTTCTCCCTTTTAGATGTTTCATGAATCACATTTTCTGCATTTGTGGGCTGCCTTGTTCCTTGTTGAATTGTTGCAAGAAGTTCCAATTATGACATGCAGCAATGCAAAAACCCTCCTGTGAAAACAGGTTATTTCAAGCTTTCGTCAGTGACAATTACTCTTAGGCAGCAACTGGTTTTGGAAATTTCCCTGATGTCAGTACCATCTGGATATGGACCTTTGCTACCTGTATTAATACCAGTGGTCTTACTTGCTGTATCATTACAATTTGGCTTCTCATATTAATATGTTTGAAAGGATTAGCGCTGGTATTCTAAGAACATGCCCTTTACTGGTTATGTAAATAAAACTGTAGAATGACACTTCAGATGAAGTTAGTGTGATTTTAATTGTGCACTACAACCAAACTGTAACCAGTTATTAATTTAGAATGTAATCCCAGGACATTATTAAGCAAATAGCCTACAGTGCTTCCTGTGAAATAGTGAAGGAGAAGGGCATTTCTTCTCGGGGTTTCAAAATGGATTTATATGATTTTTTTCTCTTTTTTTTTTTTTTTGGTAGTTTTTATTTATTCTATCAGTCTTTTTAACAAATGTTTATTGCTGCATTCCCCCACCCTCCAGTGTATCATTGTTTTACTGCCCTTGTAGTACTGGAATTTAGTTGGAAGAATAAAACCTTTACTTCTAATCTGCTTGTTTTTTAATGTACAGATGGGTAGTATTTGAATAAAGGCAATATTGTAAACATTTTTCTAGGAACCAGTCAATTTAATCTGACTTAAAAGACTTAAATATCAGTATTTTCATTTTCCAAATCTAAGATTTTAGTGCTATATTCAAAAGCTGAGTCTGATTCCAAATTGTTATATGATTGATCAGTTTTAACAGCTTTGGAAGTTTTGCTTCAAAAACACATTTAAGTCACTTTCAACAAAGCTTTCCTATCAATATAATGAAATGAATGGAAATGCTTTAGTGAATTCTTTTAGCATATCCCAGTCATAAATTGCCTAGGACAGTGGTCAGCAAACACATTAGTCAACAGAGCCAAATATCAACAGTATAATGATTGAAATTTCTTTTGAGAGCCAAATTTTTTAAACTTCTAACACCACTTCTTCAAAAATAGACTCCCCCAGGCTGTGGTATTTTGTGGAATAGCCACACTCAAGGGGCCAAAGAGTCGCAGTTTGCCGACCACGAGCCTAGGATATTTTATATGTGTATTACAGGCCTGGTGCATGAAATTTCGCGGCAGCATCCCTCAGCCCAACCTGCACCCTCTCACAGTCCAGGACCCCTTGTTCCTTATGCCCCGTGTGGCTCTCGAGAGGCCCCCTCGCCAGTCCTGAGCTCGCCTTCTGGCTGAGCAGCACTCCCTCTGGGAGGGCACTGACCACCAGGGGGCAGCTCCTGCATTGAGCATCTACCCCCTGGTAGTCAGTACGCATAATAGCAATCGGTCGTTTCTCTATTTGGTCAATTTGCATATTAGGGTTTTATTATATAGGATAGGATTTACATATGACTTAATTTGTCAGAAAAAGCAAAATGTTTATTTTTCCTTTCTAAAAACTTGAGTGATTGTGTTTTACCAATTCTTTGTTTAAACAAGGCCAAAATGAAGTAGAGCTTTCACAGGATCTCTAGATAATTCATATGCCCGTTAAATGTTTGAGAAACACTGGTATAACACAATGTGCCGTCAATAAGGGTTGGGGGGGGGGGCAATTCTATTTGGTTTTAATGGACTAATACAGAGTCTCAATTGCAACATAACAATTTGAGCCAGATCATCCTGTTTGCAGGGCTATCCTGTGTAGTATAGGATGTTTAGCATCATCTCTGGCCTCTCCCACTAGATACTACCGTGTTTCCCCGAAAATAAGACATCCTCCAAAAATAAGACCTAGTGCATGGAAAGATAAGACATCCCCTGAAAATAAGACCTAGCGCAACTTTGGGAGAAAAAATTAATATAAGACACTGTCTTATTTTCGGGGAAACAGGATAGTAGCACTCTCCCCAAATCCCCTGTTGTGACAATTAAAATGTACCTTCAGACACTGCTAAATGCTGGCGGTAGGGGGAGGAGACAGTTCCCAGCTGAGAACCAATGATAGTGAGATAGCATTTTTAGGAGAATGGAAGTAGGAAGTTAAAATCTGGAGTGATTGACTACATTTTATCAGAATAATGAATGCATATTCTTTTTAGTATATAAGTTTTCACATAGTATTAAATATAAAACAACTGGTGTTTTTTTTATTGATTGGTGTGACAACTTCTGTTTTTTGCATCACAATATTAACTGGAGAACTTTTGGAAAGATCCCATGTTCTACCCCTAGAGACTGCTTTAAAAGATGGGGGAGGGGAAGACTTAATTAACATCCAGTCCATACTCACATTTTCCCATTGGCCTCCAAAATGTCTTAGACCAGGAATGAGTACTATACTTCAACTGCAAATAATTTGTACTCCTGAATAAAGTTACTACATTTACATACTATGTTCAAGAACATTTTATTAATATGAAAATTAATGATAATGTGAGAAAGGTTTCAGTTACAATGTACGTGTGTTACTGGATTCCAAAGTATGCTGAAAGAGTTTTGATATGGCCCTGTTTGGGATTAACAGTCTACTTTTCTGGTTAAACATCATGTGGGGATTACACATTTGTCCTCTAGTGGTATCTAAGGATGACTGGTCTCTCTCAACTGAATGTGATCCTTCTGGCTTCATTTTCTTTCTAGCAGCCTCCCCATGTTAGCCTTGCCACGTGGTCAGTCTTCCGTTTGGTAGGTTTTACAAATCCTAGAAGTTCTAGTTCAGAAACAGCTCTAATGAACCGAGCACTGGAGGATATAGTTAAGGAAATTGGCCATGTTGTATTTTGACAAGATGTTAAAACATTAGTAAACTCAAATAATTCAAAATATATTCCTAAATTAAATCCTTGAGGGAAACCATTAAATATTAAATGTAATTAGAATCCAGTCAATAAAATGAGTGGAAAAGTGCTTAATATTTACCTAGTTTTTTCCATAGTATGAAAACTCTTGAAAGTACATTAATAACCTTATAAAAATAGAGAATTCAATAATGACAGTTTTGGATATTTTTGGTGAATTTTGGAATATGATCTTGCTATAAGTTTTAAATAAAATATAGACTTGGCTTCATTTTAGATTAAGTTTGGATTAAATATTTAGAAACGTCATTCTGGGACAAGATGGTTAATATCAATAAGGTTGGTTGCATCACATCTTTATAAATCTCGAATGTGGATCTTGGAAAATTACAAACATTCTATACTTATACTTGAACATTGTAGAGTGGTTTTAAAAGGATACTGAATAATGTCATTCCTTTCTTCTGAGGTTATAGAATTGGCATCCATTTTTTCAGCAGCTGTCACAACTGTTGCAAAAGCCTTTTGAGAAGACAGAAGAAAATAAAAATCTCTACTGTTGCCAAACATCTTTAATTGCCCTTGATGGCTCTGTATGAAGCCAGGACAAGTACTACTGCTGCTAACTGGCACATTTTTAACAATTACACCAAGTTTCAGATTCTCAAAACTATGTTATTTATGAGTGCTTTCTGCATAATGTTATTTCAGAGAAGAAATGTGCAGAAAAAAATTACTAGTCAAAGTTGAAAAGCAAGGGATGAACTGAATCCTATACTCGCAACCTCCATTACCCCAGCAAAATGCCTGTTTTTCTGGGAAGCCAATTATGAATATTTTTAAGGTGCAACAGATCTATAAAATAAGGCCTTCAATAGTTAACTTCGTAATATTCTGAGGAGGGGAGGAATAGTTAAAATAAGAACAACAGTTGTCTGTGGCTTTGCCAACTATTCCTTGTGCTTCCTGATTGCTAGTGTAGTTATTCCACAGTTGTTGTTTTTTCTTTTCATTTGTGCTATAAGGGAAATGGTAGTTAATAAACTTTTTTATGGAATAACAAAACTGATCTAAACTGCTCAGATTCTGCTTACTTAGTTAACTTGGGTTTGATCAGAGTGAATGGGACTGAACAGTAAGCTGCTATTTTTGAGAAATTTCTGAAGCATGAGGTGATTTATGTTTTTCAAAAAAGACATTAAGATAAACAACATCCCAGGAAAGTGTCATGGCTAGTGTACAAATACAGTTTGCTCTTCTCCTCCACTTACCTCTGACCAGTCCACAAGGTTGATTAGCCTGCTACACTCGAGGTGCAATTTATATGCTATGCAGATGTCTGGGGCGACATTTGGAATGCAGCCTTCTTCACTTTTCAGTGCTTCATTCTAAAATAACAGTAAACTAAGATGATTACCTTTCAGAAATGATTAAGCACAAAATCAGACAATAAAACCCCTGACCTAAATTTAGTAAATCAGTAAGTGGAGTATAATTTCCTTTATTTAGTGAGTTACATTTATTCTCCAACAGTTAACTGCTTGTTTAGGATTAAGTCTTGGTCATAATCCTGGTCACTAAAGAATACTCTCAGGATCAGAAGACAAGCGTATTTTTCATTTTATTCTCTTTTTTACCCTCATTTTAATAATATATTACTAATTTTTGAGACCCTGATGCATTTCTGGTTTCCATGAGAAGTTTATGGAATTCTTTGTGGGTTTTCAACACAATGCTACTTCTAACATTTGAAATTACTTGAATTTTAGTAATTAATATACTGTATTTACCAACTCACTAGAGGCCCAGTGCACAAGATTCATGCACAGGGTGTGGGAGGTATGTCCCTAAGCCTGGCCTGCGCCCACTCACTTTCCGGGACCCCTGGCTCCTTACCACTCGCCTGCAGCAGAGGTGGGAAAGGCTCCTGCCACCATCGCTGCACTAGCCAGCCTTGAGCCTGGCTTGCTGTTCCTTAGCGCTGCCTCAAAGGTGGGGAGGTTCCCACCAATGCTGCTGTCCCTGCCAGCCCTGAGCCCAGCTTCTGGCTGAGCAGTCTTCCCTGTGGGAGCACATTGACCACCAGGGGGCAGCTCCTGCATTAAGCATCTGCCCTCTGATGGTCAGTGAGCATCAGAGTAACCAGTCGTTCCATTGTTCAATTTGCATATTACTCTTATTATATAGGAAGGATATTCCCAAAGACTGCTAAAATCGCACCAGTTCTTTTCTGTGACCTACTACTACTATCCACAATTATTTTGTAAGAGACTTAATGTGTGCTTTATATAAAAATGACTTTATTATTTTGTGTTGTGAATATGAAATCAAGCTCCCCACTACCCACCCTCACTGAAGACCACTGATTTATATCTTCCCACTCAAGATTTCTCTTGTAATGCTTAGCATGCCTGCGTGCCACTTTGGAATAGGAAACTAGTAAATAGGACACTCTTCATAGGTTTCATGGAGTCACTTCTTAGGTGTCCTTTGTGGTAAGATTTTTACATGTAAACTGAGTGACAACTTAGTAACTAATAATTTAATGTTAACTTATTAAAAACTTAATTTACTTAATAACATTGCAATGTAGCTTACTAAAAATGTTTAAAGTGACCACTTTACCTTACTATAAGAAAGTTTTTAAGATCCTGATCTGTCTTGTACTCTCAGTATAAACAACTTTGTAGAACTATCAGATGTGTCTCATTTTAGGAGTCTATTCCTGGCAGATTCTGGCCATCTGGAGATGCTCTCTCAGAATAGATCGTTCCTTGGTTTAAAATCCAAGATGAAATCCCAGAGCATTTCTAAGTAATTTTAGTAGGCCATACACTTTGAGCCCTTTTTTTGCTGTTATTACAGGAAACATTTATTTCACAAGAGTAGTAGCATTTTACTCAAGTTTTAGTATCTATCTTATGATTTTATCACACGAAGGGGAAGACATTTACAATGATCCAATGTTGGCAGCATTAGTTGACTTGATTATTTTCACTGGCTTAGAAAACACCCTATGAAGTCTAAAGGATTTGTAAAGGTCTGAAAGAGGGGCCAATTCTGAGCTGCCAACTAACACTGGTCACTAGGAACTGTGAATTTATGTTTTTGTGATAAATAATGCCTGGGGTCTGACCCAAACTGCCAGAGAAGTGAATCTGCTCCTTACCTTGAGATAATAATAGGGGTTGTTGAGTGCAGTGTGGAGGGCCAATCGCGGAGCAGCATTGAGGTGCTCGTGAAGGGTGTGAGCAGCGGTGAAGTACACCACCTCGTACAGAGGCTGTGTCTCGGGAGGCAGAAGGTATTCTCTGAAACAGCCCAAGTCGGCTATCAGCATTTAGATAAGCACAGGTTTAATTTCAATGTAACATTTTTGTGAATTCTGGGGGGAAGACTGAGCAATTTGCTGAATAGGCAAAATCAACAACAACCAAAAACAAATGAAATAAACCCAAAAATCAAATTCAGTGCAGGTTCACAAACAATTGTACCTATTCCATTATTTTTTAAAACTTCCAGAACTCTTCAGAGCACAAGAAACTATATTTGTTCTGATTTAAACCTTTAAGAACAAATGTACATAAATTACATTACTGCTGTAAACCTTCCAAGTACAATTTCTTAAAGTATTAAGATATACTTTCTTAGATTGTTTAGAAAACCAAGATATCCACATTCCTGCCAGAGCAAACACTTAACTCATGCAAATATTAAACAGGCCTTGTGCCTGGAATTAAGAGTTTACAAAATTCTTTTTGGTATCTCTCATAAAAACAATATCTTGAAAGTTTTTTATGTTAGAATTACTTTTTACTTTAGAAGGCAGAAAAGGCTAAATGTTAGCTTCAGAGTATTGAAAAGCAAGCAAATTTAAAAAGTGTAATGAGATTCTTATGAGCTAGATGATAAACATAATTAAATCTAAACTTAAAAAATGAAGCATTAAAAAATGCAGTTTGAGTCAATGTGGCTCAGTTGGTTGGAACACTGTGCCATGCACTAAAATGTGGGTTTGTCCTTCAATTGCAGTGCATACAGGAGGCAATAAATGAATGTTTCTCTCTCACATCGATGTTTCTATGTCCCTTCCTCTCTCTCTAAACTAATTTCTTTAAAATTCAGTTTGTATAATGAGCCCATCAGTTGGTCTCAACCATGATAGTGATATAGGTCTTTGGTGGTCTAAAGGGTAACAAATTGGAAGAAGCTTTGATATACACTATCCAAAGACAGAGTAATAATAAGTCACTAATTCAGTGAACTTGCATGCCTTCAGAAAGATTCCTGGGGCTTAGTCCAGTCCTAGCCTTGAAATATTTTGGCTACATGACAGCCTGTAACAGCTCCTTTTCCCATGTGCGAAAGCAGCGCAGTTTCCTCAGCCCAGTTACCCGGGAAATCATCCTCTTCTTCCTGGAGTCCTGGCTTTCTCCCTCCTGCAGAGGATACCATTCCCCAGAAAATCCCACTATCCCTGCTCACCAGTGTGTCAGTGGAGGGAGAGGAAGTGAAGAGGGTATTAACCATATACATCACTCCCCAGTCTCTCCTTCCTCCCTGTCTCAAGAGCTCCTGGCCCCCAGCTCAGTTCACTTCTATAGACATCTGCAGTCAATCAGAATAGAAGCCAATTGCAAAGAGTATGAATTGTAACTTGACCTAAGGACGACCAGCAGTCTGTATTTCGAGTACTGCTAACATCTTACTCAAGATTAAGTTAATTTAGCTGTAGCCCCAGGAATAGTTTCTGTGATGCTGAATGCCACCCTGAATGGCTGGTTACTCATTTATAATTTCTGACCATAAACTCTTCCTACACCAACCTCAGGCTGTTTCTACCCAATCATTAAAGATTCTATTGACATCCCTGCTATGTAATAAGGACTGGAAGTTTAACAAGGCAACCAGACAGAGTCAATTTCAGAAAAGAAATGTCTCACATTTGTAATCCTCTCCCTTTTTAACATCTTTATATTTAATGTTTAGATTTCCTAAGGGAAAAAGTCTTTTTTAATATCCTCAAAGTATCTCCAACGAAGGTAATATATTTGCTTATATTTTGTTTCCACTGGGCTACATTAAGTGAACAACAAATATAAACCTGGAGATCGGCACAAAAATATTCCTCTGCAACTTACTTGCTGTGAGAAGAAATAGGCAATTAGTCGGACACTACAGCATCTACCATGCTCATTTTGGCTTCAGATCAGAGAGGTGTTTTTAAGAGAACTGACAGAACCATTTAGTACCAAGAGCTAAAAAGTTGAAGCTTGTATTTTGGTGAAAACTGTAGCTTAGTCTCTGCTCTCAGTAGTCTCAATAAGGCTCTTGGTACACTGGGAACCCTACCTTTTGGAGACTATTGCTTACATTTATCTTCTTCTCCCCCTCAAGCAAAATTTAACTGGACAATTTCCACAAATTACATATGAAGTTTCTAACTATCACAATTCAGTGAAGTACAAAACATTAAGTAACAGCCTGTGGGAGAGAAGGCAGCACCAATGTAGCACCTTCCAATCTTGGTAGGCCTAGGGGTAGGGAGTGTGGATGGTTTCTTTTTAAACAGAGACCTTCATTTTAATGTACAAAACAATTACCGACTGATATAAAATTGAACTGAGAACAAAAGTAGACTAAAAAGCAAATACTATTTCCTCCCATTTCAGAGTAGGAGGGTAGAGAGCTGGGGGAAGGTTCTGTGGCTGTGACCCCAGGTGGCCACTCAATCTGTTTCACTTTTACTTTCAGTGGTTTCAGGAAGGTCCGATTTTTCTTCTTTCTTCCCCGTGGTATATGCTTCGAAGTTTGCCAAATGTCCACAAGGCCACCTTGACCTTCCTCAAACTTTTTCTAGACACTCCTTTCGCATTTGGCTTTTTGAACTTCAATCTCTTCCTTTGTCACTTCCTTTTAAGCATTTCTTCAGCTTCTCTCTTCCTTTTAATTTCCAGCTCAGCAAAGTTTCATGGTCTATTAGAATATCACTTGTTTGAACAACTCTAGATCACCTTCCTCCACATTTCTCCAGAACTCCAAGCCCTTTTCGAACATCTGTAATGTGACTGATCCTTGGTGACAGTATGGGAAAATGAAGAAGGCCTTTTGACAGATGTTATCATACGGGGCCTGGAACTTTCCATAGTCAGCCTCTCGCTGGGCTTTAGCTGCCACATGATTTCTCAGGTCCCTTTTAAAAAGCTCTAATATGCTACAGATCCTAATCTCTTTCCTCCTGGGAGAATCAATCTTGGTAAAGAAAATCAACCCTAATAAGGAAAATTTTGTGATTTCACAACATATTTCAATCATGTTCAGTTTTATTTTAGTAACTACTCAAAGGTAAAAGGTCAGACATATTAGGAAAATGGTTATCTGGTTTCAGAGCCTACAATTTGGGATTTCTGAGAACTCAAAAAGGAACTGATATTCAGCTTAGAAATTATGCTACAATTCATCACAAAATTATTTTTAGCAACTGCAATGGTCACAACCTGGTGAAAGGGAAGAGCCAGGAACTTGGGCCTGGAAACTATAAGAACAGAGAAGCCAGCAGGGCAAGATTAACTCAACGAGTTCTATAAGGTCATTTCTGGCTTGTAGGTCAGTTCAACATTGCACTGCATCACTTTTATATGACACATTTCTCTCACTGTAAACTGCCTTTGTCATACTTGGTTGATCATTTGGACTTCTTTCGTGACATTAGTAATTTCTCCCCAATGACTAGGAACAATGACTCTGTCCCCACATTGTCCTAGAAAATGGAACTTTTCACTTTCAAGAAGGTCAGGTAATTTATCAGAAAACCACTCTGTCTTCAATAACTGAGCTGCTGTATTTTTAGTACCTGATTCTATACAGTGTCTAGCTGGCTATTGAGTTAGACTGCCATTAAAATATAATCAGCAATGATAAATAACAGTTTGTTTTCCTACTTTTTAACTATGAAGTCATTTTCTTTTTCTCACTTGCCTTGTTTTTCTATAGCAATGATCTGGGTTTCCCAAAAAGGAATAATCTTTAAAAAACAGGCAAGACTGGTAGACTTCTAGGTTTACTATGAATTTAGTGCTGATAATGAGTTGCACAGGTATTCTCTAGAATTAGAAGTCCTTTCTTTACTCGGGATAAATAGGACATTACGGCTAGTCTGCTCTGGGGCTTGGCCCAGGTCCAGCATACTCTTAGCAGAGATAGAGAAAGAATAAAGTGTAATGCAAATACTGTGTTATTAGAGAGGGGAAAAACGCTTTCTGTTTCCATCACCACTCCTATCCTAGCTTAATGAACTAGATCAAATTTAAATCTGAATTTTTGAACTGGTTGTAAAAGACTGCTCTAAGTCATTTTGTTCACACATCTTCATAAGGATGGAAAGACGATCAAAATTACAATTCTTAGCTGGAAGGAGGAACCTGAAAAGCATAAAGCCTAATCTAGCGGTTAAGTGTCCAAAAATGGGTATGGACGCTATCACATAAGTGCTATTTGGGAAAATAGCTAGATTTTTAGCTCTTAAGAGCAACCACTTACCTCACCAGACTGTCAATGAAGTTCACAACTTTTTCTCTCAGAACTTCAAACTTGGTCTGTTTCTTTCCTGTTCTTCTTAACTCCTTCATTTCCAATAATGACTGTGGATGAAAAAAACATACCGTATTTTCCGGCGTATAAGACGACCCTCTAATTTTACAGTTAAAACATAGGTTTAGACCTATATTCGCTGTATAAGATTACCCCCCACTTCCGAGGCAACACCAGTTCTTTTTTTAATAGACAGCCTCTCTGACTCTGGCTAATCTGAGCAGGCTTTTTACTAGAACACAGTGGTCGTCTTATACGCCGGAAAATACGGTAGCTTTACTGGTGATTCAGAGAAAGAAAACCCCACAGAGGCAGCTTATGCCCTTTGCATAAGACAGAAAGTGCAAGAAAGAACCAGATCAAAATGGTTTTTTTTTATTTTTATTTTAAGGTCTGAAAAGAATCTCTCCTCCTAGTGTTTTGCTTCAAACATTCAGTAAATTTTCAGGGAAAGAGGAAAAGGGCAGTTTACTTTGTTACTAAGTTATAGGGCAGAGTGCTCACTATCCACAACTCATTACTTCATTTAAGTAAAAGACTTATAAGGAAAAGAAAATCTTGCCCTTTAGCCACACTAACAGAATAGATTTCATGAGGTTTGCTTTTGCTTAGATTGAAATTTAACTCTACATTTATCATAACTTGGTAAATGTAGATCATGCTATACAAAGAAGGTTCTATATTCTAACAACCAAGATTCTAAAGTTAGAACTACCTGAAAAAATATTACAGTAGGAAAACTATAGTTCAATTTCTGCTCTACATGACTATAAATTTAAAAAAAAATCAAGAAAAGTATCTAAAACTAATGAGGTAGGCTCACAGAAATACCAAAATACATCAGGTAAATAATTGGATTCTTTTTTGCAACTATGTTCCCATTTTCCCTATTACTAGTTAATTTTCTTTCTCTCTGAGGCTACAGGAACAGTTTCCACCTATGTTCACTAGTAGATTCCAGACTGTGTACATGGAGAATGAGGCTGGCAGTGAGATAAATAGGATGTTTCATTTATTAGTGAATTACAAAGTCTGCTTTGTTCCTGGGTGTGATTTTAAAAGGAAATAAAAAATATCCAGGCAGAGCTCATCTAGAATACATACTGGGGAAAAGGGAGTATCAGAGGATGCCACTGGAAGGAGAAAGTGACCTGACCTTCTGAAGATGATAGAGGTCTGTCTTCTGAAGCCCCTTTGACTGTGACCCGGAAGCATCTTCTTCCTCTTTGACTTCTGCTTTTAATACAAAACCAATATACAGCAACTGGGATAAATCCACTCCAGTCAAGAGACCAGCATTTCTACTATTCCAAGAGAAATACAGTTTCATCTGGCAGGGGATCAAGGGTTCATCAGATAAATTATTTCTTCCTGAAGCTAAACGTCAATAAATATTACATAACTTATGTTGCAGAGGAGTCCTGAACCGGCCACTGAATGTTTAAAATGGGACCACAATGAAAACAAAGTACAAATACCCTCCCCTCAAAAAAAAAATCAACAGCAAGAAGTGCCAAGTCTTTGTGCTATTATAAATAGCTTCTAAAAAACAAATTTAAACTGTATTCCTTTGTCTATGCCTACACACATAAACCTACACACATAAACCTACACACTGGCAAGTTTGGCCCTGATGTTGCAATGTACAATTTTTGACAAAATGCTGTTAAAGTAATAAAGAGGGTGTGTAAAAGTTGTGACATAATCTACTAAAACGCAAAGTGCACCTTTGCTCTTCAGCATAGGCCACAGAAAACCACATCTGGCCGGAGGTGCAGCTGTGCTTCTGGAGGGGTGAGGCTATATACCCTCTTCCTCGTGCTAGGCAGCTGCTAGAACTGCACGCTCACATGGCTCATCCAGACCAAGTCTGAGACAAAAGGATGCACTAGAGAAGCGATCTTGTTCTCAAAGAACAAACTTCCTTTAGCTATGGATTATTCTTGGTTCAAGAAAGATATAATTTAAGGTTAAAATGTCTGATAAATTCTTTGTCCCATTTCATTAATATGTAGCAGATTCTTAAAAATAAACATGACACTCTGACCTACTTAACCCTCCAAATATAATTTTAAAACCAGACTGTAATATATAATAAGTGTGAAGGAGCCAGAGATAGCATATAGTCAAATATTTCCAGTTTTCCAATGTAGGGGGTTTTAATATCACTTTATTATTAACAATGTGTCACTAGTGGAAACAGAGAAATTACGAACATTTCTTCCAGACACTAGTTTTTCTTCAACTTATAAAATTCTTTATTATTTATACTATTGATCATCTTAATCTCCTTCTTCCCACTAAGGTACATTACTTAATGTAGTATTAGCACATCATAGAACTTGTTCATTAGTTTATGTTACATGAACTCTAATTAAAATTATATATGCAGTTTCATTTGACAAAAATCTGAGTCCAAATTTGGGGGTTTATTTATTTTATATTTTTATTGATTTAAGAAAAGAAGGGAAAGGGAGAGAGAGACAGAACATCAATGATGAGAGGAAATCATTGATCGGCTGCCTCCTGCACGCTTCCTACTGGAGACACGCCAGCAACCTGGGCATGTGCCCTTGACTAGAATCAAACCCAGGACCTTTCAGTCTGCAGGCTGATGCTCTCTCCACTGAGCCAAACCAAGTAGGGCTGAATCCAATTTTGTAAAAGACTGAAATTTACCTAATTTATCTTAAATTCTCCTAAGTCTTTTACCCTATTTATGTCCTTAAAGTGGATCTTCACTGTCCCAGTGACTATAATTCGGGGGCATTGAAAGTGTAAATCGGTGAGAAAAGAACAGTGAGCTGGTGATTAAGAGAGGGAGGTATTGCCGGGACCGGTTTGGCTCAATGGATAGAGCGTCGGCTTGGGGACTGAAGGGTCCCGGGTTCGATTCCAGTCAAGGGCATGTACCTTGGTTGTGGGCACATCCCCAGTAGGGGGTGTGCAAGAGGCAGCTGATCGATGACTCTCTCTCATCGATGTTTCTAACTATCTCTCTCCCTTCCTCTCTGTACAAAATCAATAAAATATATTTAAAAAAAAAAAAAAAAAAAAGAGAGGGAGGTATTGGTCTGGGAGCTAGCTGGCTGTGGGAATAGATTCTGTATGTAGCTGGACTTGATGATCTCCACAATTACCAATTACAGCCCTTTTGAAACATAGTTAGGCCCATGCCTACCCATAACCTGGAGGGAACCCACCCCTTAGTCTTGTGGGATACTTCCTCCTTTTGCCTGTTCCTGCCACTTGCTCTTTCACCTTCCATTAACTATGCATTCCTCTGGTGAGGGATATCAGCAAAAGGGTTTCCTTAAATCTAAAAGCTTTACAAGACAAAGGAACACTTGCCAAACAGGAAGAATTACAATGGGCATTCCAAGTAAAATATTTTCACTAATTCATGTGTAATCTTTGTGCTTATACATTATCCACCAAGCTGTATTTTCCCCCCAAACTCCAATCAAATTTTCCTGAATAGGGAAAAGTAAAAGATGCATACTTATTTATTTGTCTGCTTTACCAAAAGAATTCCATACTTTGGTGCTAGCGACAGAGCAAGAGAAGAGCCCATGAGAATCAATCCCATTCTGGGATGCCCATAAGAACAAGAAGTCCTAGGACTTCAGAGAACAGAACATGGCTACTTGTACACAACTAGGCACCCCGGCATCTGGCAAATACAAATACGGTCACACAGGGGGCATGAAAATAAGGGAACTGTAACCCTCCACACAGAAATGGCAGGCTGCCTCAGTTCATTTTCACTGAAAGATTCAGACTCTTGTAAGCTGATTAAAGCAGACCTCATGCACATTTTGGTAATCAGCACACCAAATGAGCCTCACTGCTGTGACAGAACTATTAATTTTTCAGGCTTACTGACTTACGCAGTGTTTTTGAAATCTATAAAGGGCTTGACGAAATGCTTTAAAAAAATCTAAAAGGAGTCCTTAATTATGATGCCCTGCTAATTTCATCAATCTTAATGTTTGTCCCTCCCCCACCTTTTTTTTAAAAGTTAATTCCTCCAAATTGTCCATCTGCAGAAAGAATGTTTCTATTTTTCTGCCCATTTAATGCCTTTCATTGCTTAAACCAAAGCTGGAAGATAACCATTTGACCTGTTAGTAATTATCAATATGTAATATTCTGAGCCTTGGTATACTGACTGATAATGAACTACTTTATGCCTTCATCTCTCAATACAGCCGAACGTGGGGTTTTCCATGTCATTTTAGTTACATGACTTCCATAGCCAGTAAAATTGGCAAGATATCATCTTCTCACCATCAAGGCTCTGAAGCTGGGCCAGGAGCTCCTCTATCCTCTTTGCTGTGCTGCCAAGCTGCTTTTCAGAAGAGGAGTTTAAAATGCTGAAACACTTCTGAAGGATGGTCATCAGTTCATCCTTTGCCAACATTCTAAAATAGAATCAGTGACAGGAGATGTAATCTAACTGGAACATTAATGAGGTTAAAAAATATTGTCTACATATGAAATGATTCTGATCAGAAGAAGATGGTACAATTTCTTCATTAGTAGCTACCAACATTTGTTGGAGAGATATTCGTCAATATGTATGACATTCAGAAGTATTCAGAAGAATTCTCATGATGAAGCTCAGCTTAGAAAGCTTACAAACATCTAGGTTCATAGTCTGGCTCTGGCACTTACTATGTCTGTAATATGGAACAAATTACTAAACACCTCTGATCCCTGGTTTCCCTGTCTATAAAATGAAACAGGGACTCACCTACTTCACAGCTTAGAATGGAGGCTTAAAAACTAAATCAGAAGATATATTTGAAGAATCTAGCACAGTGCTTACTATACAGTAGGCATTGAAGGTTTCCCTTCACTTCAGATATAAATGTCAGTATGAGACATGAAATGTTTGCCAAGGAAACAACACTTGTGTTAAAAGAAAGCTTGCTTGGAAGGACCAAAAAACTATCACAATAATTTTTCTAATTACTCTTTAGCTATACTTTATATCTTTTATGAGCATTATAAACATCAGGCAGGAAATCCACTTAACTTTAAATAACATAGGAAATTCTCCATGACACCCCTCTAAAAATCAAAAAGAGTTGTGTAACTCATTTAAGGCCATATTGGAAATCTTTGTTAGGAATGGAGAGAGAACACAGATATTCTCAAATTAAGATCCTGCTCTCAGAGCCATTACTTATAGGATCTCTCCACTAAAATCATATTCAGTAACAGAATGAAATGGAATCAGGTCAATATTAGTAATGTTAAGCACTATGACATAAGAATACAAGTTATTCTCAGCAAACAGTCCTGAATTATGAAGACTACAATGATTAAAAGTTCTTCTATTAATCATGAAGAAACAATCAGACAAATCCAGAATGTATGCTATTCTGCAAGATAATTCTCTCATGCTTGACATTTTTCATAATAAAAAATGGGAAAAAATATTAATATTACTAAGTTAGGAAGAAAATACAAATCTAACTAGATTATGACTACTGAAAAAATTAACCTGGTTACTTCAACTAAAATTTAAATGCAGACTGAAAAACAAAAAATATCATCAACCAAGCCAATAAATAAACTGGTAGGTATGGACAAAAGGCAAACTTTTCCTAATTTTAAGAAAACGTATAAAATCTCTTCAGCACTGGTCAGTGTAGCTCAGTTGGTAGGTGTGCCCTCCCATTCACCAAGGTCTAGGGTTTGATTCTGAGCCAGGGAACACATCTGGGTTTCAGATTATATCCTCCCTCTTGCCCCCATTTGGAGTGTGTATAGGAAGCAACTGATTGATGTTTCTTTCTCTCCATGACACCATGACACTACTCTAAAAATCAATGAAACTAGCTGAAACCGGTTTGGCTCAGTGGTAGAACGTCAGTCTGTGGACTGAAAGGTCCCGGGTTCGATTCCGGTCAAGGGCATGTACATTGGTTGCGGGCACATCCCCGGTAGGGGGTGTGCAAGAGGCAGCTGGTCAATGTTTCTCTCTCAATGACATTTCTAGCTCTCTATCTCTCTCCCTTCCTCTCTGTAAAATATCAATAAAATATATATATTTTTAAAAATCAATGAAAATATATCCTCAGATGAGGTTTTAAAAAAAAAGTGGTGAACTATGTTAAATGCTGATAATAGTTTAAAAATGCAAATGAAGTTGGAGAATAGAACATTATATTTAGGTACATGGAAGTCACTGTTGACCTTGATCAAGGTAGCTGTGTAAAAAACAAGTAAGTTAAAGAGAGAACGGGAGGAGAGGAATTGAAGATAGTGTGACAATGCTTTCAAATTTTGGTGGATTCCATCTAGCACATTTGCTTTCAAAGAAATAGGATAAAAATGAAAAGAAGCCCTAACGGGTTTGGCTTAGTATAGAGTGTCGGCCTGAGGGCTGAAGGGTCTCAGTTCAATTCCAGTCAAGAGCATGTGCCTTAGTTGCGAGCACATCCCCAGTTTGGGGTGTGCGGGAGGCAGCTGATAGATGTTTCTCTCTCATCCATGTTCCTAACTCTCTATCCATCTCCCTTCCTCTCTGTAAAAAAATCAATAAAATATATATTTTTTAAAACCTGAAAATAATTAAATTTAAAAGTGTAAAAGCCATCACACTAGATTACCTTGAAGAGAAAGGAAAAAAAAACATCTAGGTAGATCATATTAATGTGGAAAATGAGCTATTTATCTTCAGCCAACTTGATTAAGTGATTATATCACCATCAAGTAAATGGTTCAAAAAAGGCTTGTGATACTTACTGTGTTAAAAGTTTTAAAGGCTGCCATAAAAAAATGTTTCCTTAACTGAGACAGAAAGAGAATCCTTTAGCAATCATTAAAAGTAATCATCCTGCAGGGCAATGGAGTGTTCTGCTTCATTGTGCAGAATAATTCTGGTTAAGTACTGATTATATAAACGTCTGATGGAGAATAGACTATAAGGAGAAATTAGTCAGTCCGTGGCTAATGCAAAGATCTGAATAAAGAGCTCGCAGGTTCTCAACACACCATTATAAAACTGCTTGGAAAAATATTCAAAAAGTTAAACCTGAAAATATACCATTGAAGACAAGAAGAAAAAACAAACAAAAATGCTTAAAAAAATACATTCAGAGATTATCTTCTTCAAAGAAACACAACAAAGCAATCATATATGATCATGACAAGTGAAATAAAAATATGCATAATTCCTCCTAAGCCTCGATATTTCATTTTAGATGCCACTTCTCCGAGAAACTGCTCAACCTCCAAATGAAAGTTAACTGTGCAGTGTATTAGTTCCTCAGCACACAAAACCTCACCATCAGAGCCCTTATTACTCTGTATTTAATTACCTACCTTAATCTTGTCTACCTTAATCTCTCACTTGGCCAAAATTCAATGTAGGTAAAAACAAGGGTCATCTTTGCCATCTATGGCTCAACATAATAAACACAAAAAACTACAAAAGTATAATATAATGCTAAATTCACAAGAAAAAATAAGTTGTCAAACTAAGTTTGATTAGCATTTCCTCCATTTTATTTCATAGCTACCTATTTATTTTACTAGCAGAAAGGTAGTAGTGGGCATTGACTTTAATTTTTAAAAAAAGTAAAATAAAAATTCAGATTTTTTTCCTGTTTACTGATATTAAAAAAAAATAAACCATGGCTCACTATTAGCAATTAAATACTTTATTCCAGTTTTGGACTAAGAGATCAATTTGAGATCAATGGCCCAAAGTCACTCAACTTCTCTACAATTAAGACTTATCTTTTCCTTTAATGGCCTAATTTCTTCCTCAATTTCTTTTTTAATTGGCTTGAAAGAGAGGAAGTGGGTAGAGAGAGAGAGAAACACTGATGTGAGAAACATCGATCAGCTGCCTGATGCACATTGCCCAACTGGGAACCGAACCTGCCACTTGGGTATATGCCCTGTTTGGGATTTGAACCCACCATCTTTTGGTGTATGGGGTAATGCTCCAACCAATTGAACCACCTGATTAGGGCTCCTATTCCCTTATTTTCTAAAACAGTGTTTCTCAAAGTGGTTCCTGGACCATATGTCCAAATGTGGTGGAGTGCTTAATAAATTCAGGTTGCTGCAGACCACCACACCAAGGGTCCCAATAACCAGTTCAGAATTTTGGGGGAGAGGGCAGAAATTCACACATTTAATACACCTCAACTGATACTTATGCATACAAAAGTCTGAAAAGCATTACTCTAAAAAGATTACTCTTAACATGTTTTCCTGTAAAATGAATTTTAACAGTTCAGCTGTTTGTCTAACTTTACCACTAGCATACAATTAATTGTGGAGACCCACTGTGATGCAAATTCAGAACTGGCAATCCCTGCTCTAAACGTAGGAAATTAGATGCTAATACTGCAATCCCATGTATCTTCTAGATACATGGATAAATCTAGATCATCAAAAGTTAGATTACTGCTATTTAGGAAGCATTGAAGACTGTAGAACTGTGTCATTTTTCATAACTAGATCTTTAAATATCATCTAAAGATGATCTGCAAAGTCAGAAAACAATGCATAATTACTTAGACGCCAAATCGATATTCTTTTTGAAGTAAGCTAAAGTGATCAAATGTTTTTTGAGTAATGTCTTTTTTTTAATATATATTTTATTGATTTTTACAGAGAGGAAGGGAGAGGGATAGAGAGTTAGAAACATCGATGAGAGAGAAACATTGGTTAGCTGCCTCCTGCACATCCTTCGTTGGGGATGTGCCCGCAACCAAGATACATGCCCTTGATCAGAATTGAACCCTCAGTCCAGCAGGCTGGATGCTCTATCCACTGAGCCAAACCAGTCAGGCTTGAGTAATTTTTTTTCAACTCAGTGAAAGCTAAGCTATATTACTGTTTAACTAAGAAGCCTTCTTCAGAAATTAGAATAATTTCTTTCAGTATAAATTCCTTCAGCTATCAATCAACTTCAATTTGTAAATGTTTCTGCAACAAACTCATAAAGTTACATAAGCAGACTAGACACTATGGCTTCTTTTATTTATGTCTGCAGCCTGTGCCAAGATGACTAGAATCAGAACATGAGGGGGAAGGAGGGGTAGGGACGTTGAGTCCACTGAAACTTGCTCAACTGGCTCATTTTCAAAAAGTGGGTCTGCTCTGAACATGGACTATTGGCCACAAACCCATATAAATTTCCTTTTACACCACCTTTCAAATAATTAAAATAAGATTAAAAAACAGACTTGAACTTTGAAAATTCAGATTTAAATTCTAGCTCTGCTAACTGCAAAAAAAGTCATGCAATGTTTCTGGCTTTAAATTCCTTATTTGAAATAAAATGAAGTTAAGTATAGATAGTAAATCTCAATTGATGGGGTTGGAGGCAGAATAAATTCCCTAAAAAGGGGCACACTTTTCATTATCCCAATTCAAGAATTGTTGCCATAGTAATCCATCACTCCTAATGTGAGGGCACAGTTGATCCATCGCCTTCCTCTAAATTGAGGACTGTGACTTAGCTCTACCTTATTATTGAAGCAAGGTTTTTAGAATTACCTAGGTCTGAAAAATTCTTGATCTAGTATTTAGTTTCTAGATGGCTGTTGAGAGATTCTCTCCAATAGGAAGGTAAATTTTTCATCTTAAGGTCTTTCATAGCTGACCAGAAAAAGCCACGGAACTTCCTATCTCACTGCTGAGATGGCATCATTTGTACCATTTCCTGTTCTCAATGGCATTTTAACTTAAATATGTCCTTATATAATTGGATGTGGTTGATTAAAAAATTAACCAATTCATATACTGTACGTGGTTTTCATGATCCAAAAGTTGACTCAGAGAGAAGTTATGGAACACATGCAGAACCATGTATTCATATCAAATTATGAAATATTATTAAAGCATACTTGCATGCTCCCCCCACACACATCTGTTGCATAAATTTTTAAAATAACTGTGATATAAAATTCTACAGATCTTTCCCCAAAAATCATTGCCAAGATCAATGTCAAGAAGCTTATTTACCAATTATGTTTTCTTCCAATTTTATGTTTTCAGGTCTCATGTTCAAGTCTTTAATCAATTTTGAGTTGATTTTGTGAAGTATAACATAGTGGTCTGGCCTCATGCTTTTACATATATCTGTCTAAGTTTCCCAACACCATTTATTGAAGACTCTTCTTTCCTCGTTGCATTTTCTTGGATCTTTTTAATTGCCCAAGTATCTGTGAGTCTATTTCTGGGTTCTCTATTATGTTCCATCGATCTCTTTTTATGACAATTCCATACTGTTTTTTATTAGTATAGTTTTGTAATATAGTTTGAAATCAGGAAGCATGATGTCTCCACCTATTCTTCTTTCTTTCTTTCTTTCTTTTTTTTTTTTTTTACATTCTTCTTTCTTAAAATTGTTTTGGCTACTAGGGGTCTTTTGTGATTCTACAAAAGAACTTTTTCAGTTGGTTAGATCATTGTGTTGATACATCAAGACTGGGGTTCAATCCCAAGTTAGAGCACGTATAATAGTCAACCAATGAATACATAAGTAAGTAGAACAAATCAATCTTTTTTACTCTTCCTTTCTCTCCCCTGTTCCTCCCTTCCTCTTTCAAATCAATAAAAACATTTTTTTTAAAAAGAATTAAGTACTTTTTAAGGGTCAGGAAATATTTCATCAAGTAGATCTATGGTTACTTTAGCATGTGACTTTCCAGATAACAGAGATTTTTCAAGAAAAGATACTTAAGAAAACAATTCAAATTGGGAATGTTACTAGACCATGGTTCTAACAGTACCTTAGTTTTTCTTTCCAAAGTAACATTCAATGATAATTTTATTCTTAATTTCTTTCATTATTTGAATTGTTTGAAGACAGATAATAAGAATGTCTAGTTTCCTAAATTCAGGTGATTCCTAATTAGAATGCCAAACTGACAAGCATCTCTGACTTCCTATCTATGTCTAATCTGTACAAAGGGGAAAAGAAATCCAGTCCAGAGGTTCCCAAGTTCCTTCTCTTTTGTAATGCCCACTCTTGCTGGTCCTTTCTGTAGCTGCTTTATTTGATCTTAGTGCCTTTTACATTCCTATGTTCTGACCTCAGCTTAGCAAAATGACTGAAACTTTGCGTTCTATTATTTCTGCTTTATGAAACCCCTAAATCCATAAGTACAACAGCTTCAAGGTGAAGCCTGGATTAGAATCTGGCTCCATCAACAGTTAAGAGAATCTGGCAAATCACTGAAACACTACCTGTGCTTCAGTTTTCTCAGCTATAAAGTGTGGCTAATAGTATATAGTAGTAATACTTGAGTACTGAACTGGAAAATGTACTGAAAATACACACTACAAGCTTTCACACAGGGTGGTTACCACTGTTATATTACATTTATTATTCATGTTTCCTTACTCTAGTTTGGAATTGGTATTCATGATCCTTGACTTGTACCCCAAGATTATCAGGCCAGAAAAAAAAGAACAAGTCCTTCCCTAACAAAGGAATCTATGAGTTTGGAAATACCAAACTGGAGAAGGAAGACAATCACTAATCATAAAGGTTGAAGAGGAAATCTAACAAAAATCAACTGGGTGTGTGAGATAGGTATGTTAACTTTAATAGAAAACAAAAGAAGACTCAGAAATATTTCATTTGAAGCATAGAATTACATAGAAATCTCTTACTGGCATTAAAAAAAATAGAATAAAATACAGTTTTTCAGTAGCAACCTAGTTTCCATGAGGAGTTATTTTTCCAAATAGCATAAAATTAGTTTCCATCATAAACTGCACTAAACATTTGTATTATTAAGTCTCTGGACTTAAAGTGCTGTCAATGTGAATTTTCCTCCTACTGTGCCCATCTGTTCTTTTCTTGTGGACCCACAGGAAGCCAAAACTTTAATAAATATTCAGTTTTCAGACTTCTTTATATTTTTTATACAATCATTTATATCCACCAAGGAAAATTATAAGACTGTGTGCAGAAACTTAACTCACACCTGATTTTCCTTTTCTTACTGTCTAAGTGGTCACTATTTTTATGGAAGACTAAAGAATCACCATCCATATAAAGTCAAGGAAAACAATGATTATAACTTAAAAAGATGCATTTGTCAGAGATTATAACTGATCTTTGATGATAATAACCCCACAATATATCTTACTTATTAATGTAATACTAGATAAACAATTTATGAATTACCCAATGTTGATGTGAACAGGGCCAGCTCAAGTGGGAAAAAGCAACAAAGCCACTGCCTACTCGTGGTTGCTCTTCATCGAGGTCAGCAATGACCTCCTTCACAAGATGCATTTCACCCACTGATGCTGCTCCTCCACTCAAGCAGTGAAGGGCCATGGTGAGCTCACTTTCCAGGACTACCGTCCCTGCCATGAAGTCAAGCTGGACACTTGTATAGTGTTACTAGTTAACTAAACAAATACTTGTTTTACTTTAAAAATCACACTTAAAAACAAAATAACACCAACAAAGAAATGGATAGTTGATACATTAAAAATACTGTAAACTACAAACATTAATTCAAGATAGATATAAATATTAGACACACATGGCTACTTATAAAACTGCTTGGCAGGCAGAGGTCTGGAGGAAGATGTTACATATTGGCAGGCTTAGAGCAGACTAAAACAAAAAACAAAAAAAAAACTACCTCAGCAGCTGCAAGGCCGATGCATACTCCTCTGAATCCCATATGTTTTTTTCTAAACATGTGCAGTACAGCTCCCTGATCTGTAAGTGAAGAGCACACTTATGAGGAACCAAAAGTGATGTACTAAGTTGGCATACTACTAATTTGACAAAATCCACATAAATGGTCAAAAAATTAGGTTTACTACAAACAACCGTTTTCTTTAGATGACAACAAAACCGGCACATACCACATGGATCAGTCTTTAAAGGAACACTAGAGGCCGGTGCATGAAATTCGAGCATGGAGGGGAGGGGTGTCCCTCAGCCCAGCCTGCACCCTCTCCAATCTGGGACCCCTCGAGGGATGTTAAGCTGCCCAGTTAGACCCGATTCCGGTGGGATCAGGTCTAAACGGACAGTTGGACATCCCTCTCACAATCCAGCACTGCTGGCTCCCAACTGCTCGCCTGCCTGCCTTTCTGATTGCCCGTAACTGCTTCTGCCGGTCAGCGTGATCACCCCCTAACCACTCCCATGCCACCTGATTGATGTCTAACTGCTCCCCTGCCAGCCTGTTTGCTCCCAACTTCCCTTCTCTGCCGGCTTGGCCACCCCTAACTGCCCTCCCCTACAGGGTTGATCACCTCCAATTGCCCTCCTTTGCAGACCTGGTCCCTCTCAACTGCCCTCCCCTGCTGGCCATCTTGTGTCCACATGGGGGCAGGATCTTTGGCCACATGGGGGCAGCCATCTTGTGTGTTGGAGTGATGGTCAATCTGCATATTACTCTTTTATTAGATAGGATAGAGGCCTGGTGCATGGGTGGGGGCCAGCTGGTTGGCCCTGAAGGGTGTCCCGGATCAGGGTGAGGATTCCCTTGGGGCGTGGGGAGGCCTGAGCAAGGGGCCTGTGGTAGTTTGCAGGCCAGCCACAACCCCCAGCCACCCAAGTAGAGGCCCTGGTACCTGGGGTTTATTTACCTTCTACAATTGAAACTTTGTTGCCTGGAGCAGAGCCAAGCCCCCTGCTCTCTCTGTGGCCATTAGCCATTTCTGTTGGGGTTCATTTATCTTCTATAATTAAAACTTTATATCCTTGAGTGGAGGCCTAGGCCAGCCAGGTGTGTGGAAAGCTTGGCTTCCATTGCCAGGGAAACCCAAACCTCTCAACTGCTAGCTGTGGCTGCAGCCATCTTGGTTGGGGTTAATTTGCATACTCACTCTAACTGGCTGATGGGTGTGGCTTGGGGCATGGCTTGAGTGGAGTAATGGTTAATTTGCATATTACTCTTTTATTAGTTAGGATAATTTGCATTAAGGAAAATGAAACTATATTGGAATTGACTGCTAATCACTGGTCACTTTGCAACACAAAAATCATAAAAATGATGTGATTAATTAAAAAAGGCTTAATAGCAGAAATCATTTTATAAATAAGTTATTTTTTTAAATATTTTTATTCATTTCAGAGAAGAATGGAGAGGGAGGGTTAGAAAAAGCAATGATAAGAATCATTGATGGGCTGCCTCCTGCAGACCCCCCCACTGGGGATCGAGCCTGCAACCCAGGCATGTGTGCCCAACTGGCATCAAACCCAGGACCCTTCAGTCTGCAGGCCAACACTCCATCTGCTGAGCCAAACCAGCCAGGGCAACAAGTCATTTTTTACATATTTATTCTCTAAACCTTTAAGATAGGTGCAAAGATTTAAGAATACAAAATTCTTCCATTAAAATCCTACAGATGGTTCACATGACACAAAGGCCGGCAGAAGGTAATTTTTCAGGGAGAAATACTAATTTCCTTTTAGTTCTTAGTACAATGCAAGGTTAACCATTAAGCATTCTCAAACAGAATTTTTCCATTTCACTAAGGTGGAGAGTCACCTCTATTTAAGTGATGTAAAGTGTTAAAGAGAGAAAGCTGAAATGCCATAGCACAAATACATTGTAGAGGAAATAGCATCACTGGGATGGATGTGGTCATTTCTAGTTGCGGCCATCAAAGTAAAAAATATTGTTTCAATTACTAGTAATGGGTACAGCTGGAATGGATTTAGATTGTGCACTCACTGCAAGATTTGAATCCATTTCAAATTCTGATGTCTGAATGCTACTGAAACCAAAGCAACAAACTAACCAATATTATGACTTCATAGATTCCAAATGAGGAAATTTTGGTTACCTGTCGACCCAATGGGTACTTGGGAAGAGAAGATGTGAACTGATGAAGACATCTTAAAACCAGAAAGTAATTTGTATGGTACACATGCAGGCTTTCTAGTAATGATTGTGTCTCCTCCTAGAAAAATCACAGAATACATATGTAAGTCAGTAAGAGTTTTTCAGGCCTCATATTTTCATGACTGCTTAACATTTTCTAAGAGAATTATGATCTGCTTTTCAGATTTGTTTTCTCTTCTAAGAAGTCAAATAAAGGACTTTAACTACTGGGCTGGCTTTTTTCGAGAATATCTTGTGGATACCCATTAATTTTAATAGTCAACCATGCAGAAACAAACACTTCAGGTATCAATAAATTAAAACAAATCTAAAAAGCAGCAAATCTGAGATGTTTTCCTAAACTCTAGGGCAAATAAAAAAATATTAAAAAAACACAACTGAAAGCCTAGGGCAAATTAAAAAAAAAAAAAAAGCCTTTAATATCAAAATGTTTTTCTAGGTTCCCTGGTGGTCTAGTGGTTAGGATTCGGCACTCTCAAAATGTTTTTCTTCCCAGTATTTGAATTAGTTGGTAATTCAAAAATCTAGGTATCCTATCATCAGTACACCAGTACATTAGCGCAAATAGTACTTTAACCACCAACTGAGAGAGCATAATTTAATTCTATGTTTACTGTCAACCAGCAGTTTTTGCTGCAAGAATTTTTAAAACAGGCAATACCTATTTAGTCAGCAACTCTTTTCCCTTAGACTGTCAAATAAGAAAAATAACAACAGCCAACACAACAGCCATCCAGTGTGAATCAAAATCATACCTTTTTTTGTCAGGTCAGCAAAAAATGTATTTTTGGGGGTGCACTACAGAATTTTAGTTATTGTTTTAGTTTAATTCCATTAGATAAAAAAAGATTGAAAATCGCTGCTGTAAACTATAACTATAGAAACTATAACTATGTAAACTATAGAAATTGCATAAAGGCAACAAAGCTTCCCTTGATGAATGCTTAAATAGCTTTAAAAAAGAAGCATTCCATAGAAAAAAGAATATATTACTGAATAAAGTCATACTTGATGCTACTTGCACTACCCAATACTTCTACTCTGTGGAGTAACTATATATACAAATAACTGGGTGGTACAGTAGAATTGAATAACATCTTTCCGTAATTTACTTGTATTAGGAGAGAAAAGAAATCCTTTACACAGCATGAGCAACATTGCACACTCAGAAAATGTGCCCTGGAGTATAAGAGAGATATTTGAAAACCCCATTTCAGATTTTTCAAACACTAATAAAGAACCCTAGACACCTGCTCCTCAGCTTATACTAACTCTTCAATTAAGTGTGTGGGCTTTGACATTAAGGCCAGATCTTCCATTTGCTAACTGTGACACTTTAGATAGGCAACTTACTTAATCACTTTGTGACTCCCCCATCACTACAAAGGGATGTAAAAACATCTGTCTTATGTGGTGGCTGTGACTCACAATGAGGCAATGCATAAAAACTAATTGGGAAAAGCTATTAATATTCCCCCATTTCCCCAAAACATTTGCTCATGGAAAGGAATTTTTATTATTTAAAAACCTTTTCATTATTTCAAGTCCTAGAGTTTGTTATGATCAGATAATGATGATAATTATGCAAATAAGATGAGGCCACAGTCTTAAATTTCAGGCACAAGCAATTATAGTAAATTTGAAAGTTCTGTTTCAGGCTCTTTTGACTTCTCAATTTTTCATGAAATATAGTTTCCTAAATGAAAGTTTTAAAGTTGAGAAGAAGAAGAAAAAAAAGGCTTAATTACTAAAGCAACACTATGGGGCATAACACGGTAAAAGTATTATATATCCAGTTACTTCTCCTGCTATTTCATCTAAAATCTATAATTGTCTAACTATAATATCTATCGATAATAATTTATCTATCTTCAGTTAAATCTATGCATTAAAAGAAAATTATAATGAGGAATTTAAATGATTTAACCAGAAAAATTATTACTAATTTATTTAATGAACAAATACATAAATAGTGTAGAGTAAAAGTATCTTTGAATATTTTCTTATAATGCGGTGGCAGCAGGCACAGCAGGACCAGGATGAGCAGAGTGGCCCCTGCCCTGAGGGCTCCCAGACTGCTAGAGGGCGCAGGCCAGGCTAAGGGACTCCCTTTCCACCAACCCCAGGAAACATGAATATCATGCACTGGGCCTCTAGTAGTATATATAATATACTTATTTCTGTAAGACAGGGGAGGAAACATACATATATATGTAGAGAATATCTCTAGAATGATATGTAAGAAACTAGTAATGCTGGCTATATCCAGGAAGGGAAAAAGGGCAGTTGGAGACTTTTTACTCTATATTGCTTTTGCCTTGTGAATGATGTACCATGTCCAAGTATTATTTATTCATTAAAGATATAAAATCAAACTCCTTCTCTTGATATTCCCTTCATTTTATGGCTAATTCATAATATTTTAAGCTCATTACTTCTTTCCTGGCATTATATAATCAATATATAATGACACTGTATCACATCAATACCCATTTAGCAATGGGTTCCTAGCTGCACAGCTTCTATGTGCTTTTATTTATGACAGTCTTTAAAAGGACATTAAAATAAAACTGTCTGCAGATTCCAAAACTGTCATGTGGAAAGAAAGCTGAGATCTAAAAGTCTAAAAGTGTTTTCAAAATAGACCATAGGAGAAACCTAATATTCTAATTAATAAAATAAAAGTGTTAGTGTCATCATGAATAGTCACATTCCTATAGGATTATCAAAACTACTTCATTCTGCAAAGCATATTAAGATATACAAATATTTTATAAAAGTAACTCAATAAATATTATGTGTATATTTATTTTCATTAAGAAAACAAGCAGAATAAAATACATCCACTCCTACCTTTAAAAATCTCTCATTAGTCAACAGTGCAACCTGCTTTTCTGTAGCTTGCTTTTCCACGTACCTAAAATGTTTACCATATCATACACAGAAAGAGAAAATTAAACATTCTAAGTATTTGAATAGCATATGGGGGAAAAGAACCACCTAGATTGGTGGTCACATACTTTTATTTCTCCTCAAAAATACATTCAAGATGATAGTTTAATTTTTTAACTCTTTAAGTCAGCTGCAGTTCACAGCATAGGGATACAATCATAAACTTCAGAAATGGAAATGCTATTTATAAAAAGTTACTGGAGAATCTGTAAATTATGTCCCCTTGTAAAAATATTTTTCTTCATGCCAAATTTTCAAACCCAACAAAGAAATCTCACAATTAAAAACAGAAGGGGCACAGCCAGTGTTGCTCAATGGTTGAGCATCAATCTATGAACCAAGAGGTCACAGTTTGATTCCAGTAGGGCACATGCCGGGTGTGGGCTCCATCCCCAGTAGGAGGCATCAGGAGGCAACCAATCAATGATTCTCTCTTATTACTGATGTTTCTATCTCTCCCTCCCTCTCACTTCCTCTTTGAAATCAATAAAAATATATTTTAAAAAAACAAAACAAAACAAAAAACCACAAGGGTTTAAATCTAAAAAAATTAAGTTTCTTTTTCCTTTTTCATCTTAAAAAATAACTACATCTGAGATCCCTTATTTTGGCCCAAACTCTATCATAAGACAGGTTAAATATGCACTTTTTTTTTTTTTTTTACCTCCTAAATGATGGAAGACGTCGAATGTTTTCACATTGATTATCTGATAAAAAATGTATTCTTCTCTTGGCTTCTGGGAGATTACAACACAGAACACTGAGGGGCTGGGAATAGAAATGCTCTAATAGAGAAAGCTGAAAAAAAATATAAAGGTTAAACATATTTGTTATATTTTGGCAGTAAATCTTCTGCCCTATGCATGCTGAATTTTTAATTGTTTTTTAAACAGCAGAAGTATTTATGACACAAAATATACTTAATATCACAATAACACTGCAAAAAATACATAAATGGTTAATACCTTCAATATTTTAAGGTTTTCATTTTGTGGACAAGGTCAGAACATTATAATCTCAGAAGTATAAACTAAATAAACTAAAACAAATAGATAAATTAGCTATTTGCAGAAGCAACTCACTTAAAATAACAGTACAGTAAATGTTGTAGGGATGAAACACAAGGTTCGAATCAATGTCCCAAAACTCATTAAAAAAATACCAATCTAAAATCAATGTAAAAACTGGTCTGCTAAATAAATAAAAATGTTACAATGGTAGAAGTTTTGCTTATTCTTTTTTCATAAAAATAATAATGAAAAATGAGGATGGCTAAAGAAAATGTATCTTTTTAAATTCACTTTTACTTCATGGAGGAAAACAGCACAGTATCTGATAGATACAAGTAATCTAGTAGCTAGAATGCTATAGTTGTCACAGTATAAGGCTAAATGATTTTCCAGATTCTGCCATAACTGGTAAAATATAGCTCATAAAACTCTCCAAATATTAAAAACATTGAGTCTATTGACCAGTTTGCTTTTGTCCAGATACTGGAGAGACAGTTCCCTACATAGCAGACAAAACACTGTCATCAACTGGGAAATAGGATTTCTATCACAAAATAATCTTACCTAATAAAAGAGAAAGATGCAAATTGACCATGCCTCTGCAACATCCACCAGCCAATCAGGAGTATGCAAATTAATCCAACAAAGATGGACGTTAATTTGCATACACGGATGAGGAGTGGCTTGGAGGGGCAGAACATCTGCTGTGAGGGGAGGGGGGCAGTGGAGGGAACTATAGGAGTGGTGCTCTAGACAGAAGTGAGGACTTGCCAGCTCCCGGGCGGGCAGGGATCAGGGCAGGCTGGCTCCAGTGTTTTTGTGAGTGAAGCCAGGGGAAGGAAGGCCGATTCTTTCATGAATATCGTGCAACGGGTCTCTAGTAAGTTAATACATTAGCTTACATATCACTCTTAAGGTATTTGAGCTTGATCCTTCCTGGGTAAACTAATAATGAATTTCTGAGCTACAGACCAGGTACCCAAGGCTAGAGAAAATCCTCCAAAATAGTTCATTCTGGAAGAAGTATAAGGCTGTAAAGTGAAGGGCCAGCCTAACTTAAAAAGAAGTACAAATCAGAAAACAACTACTCATGCCAAGTGCTAAATTATTTTACACATATTAACATAATCTTATTTCTTACTTATATTTTCCAATGACATTAATATGGTAATACTTATTCGAATGTTAACACTTTTTTAAACATGAGAAAAATAAAAACCAAACATGATAAGGAACTTCCTGGGGAAGAGAAATGGGAGCAAGTCACATGAGTATAGTAGAGCTATAAATGGGATAAGAACCTAGTGTCACTTAACTATTTTGTCCAAGTGTGTCCTCAATCTCTGGGTCAATTAACAAGTTGGTTAACATATCCACCCGATGAAGGATTTAAACATATGCAGAATAATTATATTCCCTATTTACCTCTACAGAAATCAGGACTTACACATATTTCCCGCTGGTGATTATGAAAACTGGACAAATGGGGTCTAAATGTTCTGCCACTAGTAGCTATGTGGCCTTGGCCAAGCTACTTATTCTAAGCCTATATTTTCATGTGCAAAATTGAGGGTAATAATACACATTAAAGAAACAAAGGAAATACTTAGTAAAGTGCTCAGCACAAAGGAGGTGCTTAGTAAAAGATCAGAAACCTATAAAATCATCTAATCTGATTCCCCTTATTTTACAGATGAGGAAACAGATTAGTAACTTGGTTAATGTCCTTTTCTTCATTCACTTTTTCAATGGTATTTGTAACTACAATTTATATTTCCTAAAGCTCCTTCTTCCCTTGACTTCAGTGGTATTCTACTTTCTATTGGCTTTCCTTCTGTTTTCAGTCTCCTTTTCCATTACTCTAACGATCAGTCTGCTTTAGGGATCTACCGTTAGTGCTTTCTTTATTCCTTCGCTTATTGCTTCATCCTCATTACATAACTTCAACTAACCACTTCTTAATGACAAATCCTAAATATTTCTAGCCCAGGTTTTTTCCTCAGTGCCAAATCTTTATATCCAAAAAAACCTAAATTAACCTATTCAAAAAGAAACTCACCCTTTTCTAACTGGCTTTCATTTCTATTAAGTGTACATTTAATAAATGGTATCAACCTTTTGTATCTGTCCCTTATGCTCCTCTCTTACAGATCTTATCATCCATTTAGTCACCAGATTCTGTTGATTCTATCCCATCCTCAAATTTGTTTCCTCTCTCCAGTCCCACTATCACTACCTTATTTAGCCCTTCATATTTTGTCTATATTACTGCAGTAGATTTATGATAGATCTCTCTCTCTCTGATTGCCTTTGCCTGGACTGCTCTTCCAATTCTGACCTGGCTAGCTTTTTCCTTAGGACACACTTCTTTATACAGAATCTCCAGGAATGTTTCTTTCATAGCATTGACTCAGAACTATAAATACAGGTTTACTTTTCTGCCTCCTTCATTAAGCAATGAGCAATTTGAAGGAAGACATTTCTTTGTCCTCTGCATTTCTAGAACTTAGCATAGTGCTTGGATTTTAGTAGGCTGTTGATAAATAATTATGAATAAATAAAGGAATGAATAAAATGAAATGAATAAGAAGTCAGAGTTGTTAAAACTCTATATCATTTAATTTCACATTCTGCTAAGATAAATATTTTCTTACTTTTAAATACTTTTGTAAAAAATATCTAAACTGAAAAAAGTCACATATTAGCCATAACAGACCACTACATATCCATAAGAGTGGATATGGAAAGTAATTTATAATCATCTAGGCACTACATAAACATGAGGTATTACATTGTGCTTTTGTACCAAAGTCATTAATATACAGGTTTTAATCAAATTGACAACTGATATGTGTTCACAATGATTACAGGTAGTCACCAAGAGAGGGAAATAATATTGTTTTAAACAACTAAAGAATGGGATCTATTTTTAGTTTAGAATAGATGTTATGAAGCTAGGTCAATGAATTGTTTTCTGGCAATTTAGGAAATGTTGGTGAAAATGCCTTCACAATATATATAAGAATAAATATAAATGAATACATACACAAACATGCAGGAGACAGCAAGCTATGACCTACAGCCCATTTTTATATGGCCCAGGAATGTTTTTTATATCTTTAAAGGATTGTGTGTGTTGTTTTTTTTGTTTTGTTTTGTTTTTTGTTTTAAAGAAAACAAATATTATACAACAGAGGGTATATGTAGCATGCAAAGCCAAAAATATTTAATATCTGGTCTTTACAAAAGTGTCTACTGACCCGTTATATATAACATTTCCTAGATAAAAAATCCATAAGCTTTCATCAAATTTTCTTAAAAGGGTCTTTTTTCCCACCCCACCCTCTAACATGGTTAAGAATCACTGGAATGAATGGGGGCCCTTTTCCATTTAGCTATCCAATTAATGTATTCTCTATGTTTTTGCTGCAAGGTAATAAAGCAATAGTAGAACCTAGAATAATATAACTTTAGTTTACTTATTCTAGATTTTGCCATATAAAATGCCTTAAATATCACACTAGTCAATTTGAAATAACATGCAAATTATTTAGAATCAGCTTGTAAATTTTCAAATCCATTAGTGTCTTCTTACCTGAAGTCCTTTTATAAAGTTCTGTATTGAGAAATCATAATATAAAAAGATGCTGGTCAGAATCTGTAATACTTTTTCACTTAGGTTAAAGGGAAATTGAGTTGTAAGAAGTAACTGAAAGAGATAAATGGGGGACAGGACATACTCCTTGTTAGTCTTTATTCTTCATAAATATCAAGTATAAAAATAATGAGGCAAAGATTGAGACTATGACACAGTAACTATGAGAGCTATAATAATAGCTAGGTTTTTAGATTAAACATCAACTAAAATTTTAAATTAATTAATTTACACAACAATAACAAAAAGGAGCTGTTCGTATCACACATTCAGAATCAAAGATGTCTATCACCTCCTATCCAATTCCTCATTTTATAAAATACTGCCTATCAAATATATAACTCCCTTTCTCCCACCAGAAGCCATTGAAACTACAAGCTATCTGATTTTTTTCTCATCCCTACTGATACACTTTATGTACTATTAGATGAGAAGCCCCAAATTAACATGTCTATTTTAAAAATATAAAATAGCTGAATTTTTATTATCTTGCTCATTTTCTATGGCCTATAGTAAAGATTTAATATCTGAAAATGAAGTCATACTAGATTTCAAAAAAATTTTTAATAATTTATCTTTATTGTAGAAAGTATTAAAGATGTCTCCTTTCTCCCTCCCTCACTGGCTGCCTCCATCCCACTCCTGCCTCTCCCTAGGTCTAGGCTTTTTAAACAGAAACATTGTCATAGAAGACTAACTGAACTTGACTACAACCAAGCAATTTAAAAAACTATAGCTGGAAAAATTTTCCCTAGAGTGTCAGCAAACCAATGGATACCACCTTTATGGGGAAAAACTGTAGAAGTGGTTATTAAATAAATGGAAGATTATCATTAGTTTACCTTACACAAGCAACATAAAGCACATCTTAAGGGAGCTGAAACTAGCAACAATTTGTGGAAGGTCAATACTAAAGAAGTCTATTCCTATTTAGGTAGAGGTATAGAGCTATGGTCTGGGGAAACATTAGTATTTATTTTCAGTCAAGAGCAGCATGATAAGAAAGAGTCCACTAAAAACTTCAAATCATTTCATATTAAATGTAAGAGTCAAAACATTGTTACTGTTCCAGGAAGACATTAAATTCTGTAAAAATTTATTTTTAAAACCAATTTTCCATTGAGTAATAATTGATTGATAGCTATAGATTGATAGATATCATTTTTTCATAAATCTTAACGTTTTTTTTTATCTCAAGAAACAATACTATATCACAAAATCATTAAATAAAAATATTAAAATATGTGAAGGAATATGTTCAATATCATACTCTAAAGAGATGCAGAAATTTATCACTAACATTTATATTTATAATCTATTCTTGGCAATTTTCTTTCATCCTATTTCACTGATAAAATTTTTTTATTTTTACCTTATCAATTACTGTAGTCAGGTGCTCCTTGCAAGACAAAGATTGGAATATTTCTATACACAACAGAGATGATACTGCATGAGGAAGCAACCGATGGATGATAACAGGAGATGTGGCAATTCCAAAAATGAGTAATAGTGGAAATTCATGTAGATGCTGACTAGTTAAAAAAAAAAAAAAATACAGAAGTGGGATTTCTTTAGCAAATATATTTCAATATATTGTTTTTCAAAATAAGGCCTTTATTTTTATGCTTACTTTATAAGACACTGGTAAGGAATATCATTCTAGATACTAAAATTTGCAAGGTCACTCATTTTCCTCTGTTAAATAACATTAAAATAGTTATTGACCAGGCATTCTAGCTCTGAAATCAAGCTATTAATGGTTTCCCTCATTTTATCAATGAGAACACAGAAGTCCAGAGAGATCAAGTGCCTCCCTCTACAGTTACACAATCTCAAGTGTTAGTAGAATGCAAGATAACATACAATTTAACCTCTCACCCAAAATTTGAGTCCCACTAACAGTCTTCCTCAGAGTGAGTTATCCAGCCTATGCTTTAAGAGTTCAGTGACATGGCCGAAACCAGTTTGGCTCAGTGGATAGAGTGTCGGCCTACAGACTGAAAGGTCCCAGGTTTGATTCCGGTCAAGGGCATGTACTTTGGTTGCAGGCACATCCCCAGTAGGGGGTGTGCAAGAGGCAGCTGACCGATGTTTTTCTATCATCGATGTTTCTAACTCTCTATCCCTCTCTCGTCTTGTGTAAAAAATCAATAAAATATATTAAAAAAAAAAAAAGAGTTCAGTGACATGAAGATCACTTATTTTCAAGGTACCTTATTCTATTTATGGATATTTCTAACAGACACATTTCGAAGACATTACTAAAATATGTTACATCCTTTCCTCGCATCTTTATCTCAAACTTATTTAATATGATTGATTCTTAGTATTACCAACAGGAACACAACTGACTTCCCCAGAGTAAAACAGTTCTTTCCTTGAGAGTTACTGTAGGTTGGTCCTGTGTAACAAGGCTGATGATCTTGCTTGCTCCCTCCTGTTAGCTATTGCTTTTCATAGTATAGCTGTATACAGTTCTACCACCATAGGAGTACTGCATGGACTCTGTTGCTGTTTTAAGTTCTTTTTCCCTTACCTTTGATGGTAAGAGTAGTCACAAGTCTGAGCTTCAAAAAAGAGCTTTTCCACCACTATTCTATACTGTACATTTTTTCCAATATATTACTCTATTCAGTATTAGCATTAAGAAAAGTCTTAGTATCTAGAAATCTTAGTTTCAGTGGGGGAAAAAGACACTATCAAAATAGGAATAAGTATTTTAGTAAATTAAACACATGTAGCCTTGACTATTAAGCAAGTTAACATATAGGAAACAAAATAAATTATACTTTAAAAAATGTACCACGGGTAATGCATGCTAATATATTGGATTTTAAAATAGTATTAAATCTCACAGGATTGCCTTAAAGATCCAATGAGATCATGAAAGCAGATTCTCACTAGATATCTTATCTAATAAAAGAGTAATATGCAAATTAACCATCATTGTGCTATACCCACAAGCCACGCCCACATACCATGCCCACATACCACACCCAATATCCAAATATATTTGGATATTCAGGAGTGAATATCCAAATAAACCTAACCAAGATGGTATGGCCACAGAGAGCAGGAGGGAGGCTTGGGATTCCCAGGCGATGGAGGAAGCCAAGCTTTCCGCCTGTCCTTGCCGGCCTAGGCTTCCACTCAAGGATACAAAGTTTCAATGATTGAAGATACATAAATCCAAACAGAAATGGTGGGGCAGCCAAGGAGCTGGAAAGAGCTAATGTTTGGTTTAGGCTAAGGTTGCCCCCAGCGATGAAGGAAGCCAAGCTTTCCGCACACCCTGGCCAGCCCAGGCCTCCACTTAAGGCTACAAAGTTTCAATTATAGAAGATAAATAAATCCCAGATACCAGGTCCTCCGCTTGGGTCGCCAAGGGGTGTGGCTGGCCTGCAAAACAACACAGGCCCTTTGTCTAGGCCACCCCACACTCCAAGGGAACCCCCACCTTGATCCGGGACACTCTTCAGGGAAAACCAGCTAGCCCCCAACCATGCACCAGGCCTCTAACCTATCTAATAAAAGAGTAATATGCAGATTGATCATCACACCAACACACATGATGGCTCCCCCCATGTGATCAAAGATCCTGCCCCCATATGGACATAAGATGGCCACCAGGGGAGGGGAGTTGGGAAGGACCAAGGCCTACAGCAGAGAGCAGTTGGGGGTGATCAGGCCTGCAGGGGAGGGCAGTTAGGGGTGACCAGGCCTGCAGTGGAGGAAAGTTAGGGGCAAGCAGGCTGGCAGGAAACAGTTAGGCAACAATCAGGCTGGCAGGGGAGTGGTTAGGGTGTGATCAGGCTGGCAGTCTTTGAACATTCAATCATAGGGAATTTGAAATCATTTTGCTTTTCATACTTTTGGTATTAAAATAAAGATTAAATTGCCACTCATTTTCTCTGGAAAAGGTTGTTTATTAAGTTAAACATGGTATATTTTCTTAGAAAAAGAAATTTTATGCAAAAATCAGGTGATACAACATCTACCTGCTGATAATTATGAAGTCTTGGAGTACTTTTGTGGTGAAGCTTTCCATATCCTTTAAGATAAGCACAACAGGAGGAGATTGCCATTGGCTAGAAGTCCTCTTTTTCCGTGGCTTTCCTTGGTCTGTCTTCTTTCAAACCATTGTGGAAAGAAGAAATTAAAAGGTAAGCCTTACCAATCAAACAATGCTATATCTATAGCTCTTTCTCCCTTTGTATTTCACAGTAACAGTGTGTGTGTTTTTTATTTCTCCCACATATTAAATAGAAACTCATTCCAACATCTATTAGAATCTTTCCATGTGACATGGGAATAATAACCAAGAAGAAAAAGGTCTAGTAAAATCTATAACTCATAATATTTATATTTATATTTTCTGCTATGTGAAAAAATGAACAAAAAGCAAAGGGAGAAGAGAATATTCTCTATACAATTTATTTTTCTGTTGGTAGAATGTCATATTTTCCTTTGCTTTAAGGTGAGAACAAGTATTTTTTTATTAGAATACACATAATGAATAGCCCAGCTTCACTACTGTAAAATTCAAGTAGAAAAGCATCTTAAATTATCATCTAGTCCAATCCCAATCTTTTAAATTGCAGACAGCATTGAATTTCTACAAAATTTAAAATTCTGGCCTTGCCAGGCCCTGAGCGGCCAGGCCCCGAACAGCTCGCTCCTCGCCTGTCCCTGCCCCACGGCTGCCTCTCAGACATGGCTGGAAACTTTCGCGGGAACTTGAGGTTCTGCTGAATCAAGTGATGAAGGCTTAGATCTGGATGTGTTGAGTTAGTATAGGGCTGGGGTGTTGATCTGTGAGTGCCTTGGGTGGGGCCTGGATGAGGCTAGTTGACCTATTAGGAAATGTCTTTTGTGTGAAGTGTATCATTGGGCATGTGGAGGTATTATTGATATGAGAAAATGCTAAATAACTGATTTACTATCTGAAAAGGGATTTACTATCGGGGAAAGGGAGGGAAGAAGAGACTGAACATAAACTGTGCACCTATGGATGAGGACAATGGGAGATGGGTAGGGGGCGGAGGGTGGAGTGGGAACCTAGTGGAGGAGGGAAGAAATGAGGAACCTTTGTAATAATATGAACAATAAAGATTGATTTTAAAAAAAATAAAATAAAATTCTGGCCTTGGCCATTGAGGCTCAGTTTGTTAAGAGTTTTATCCCGTGCACTGAAAGGTTGTGAGATAGATTTCTGGTTAGAGCACATACATAAGTTTCAGGTTCAATCCTCAGTGGGGGTTTTCAGAAGGCAACCGAACAATGTTTCTCTCATACATCGATGCTTCTCTCTCTCTATTTCCCTCCCTTCCTCTCTCCCAACCTCCCCTTAAACACATACAGGAGGCACCCAATCGATGTGTTTCTCTCACATCAACGTTTCTGCCTCTCCCCTTCCCTTCCACTTTCTCTAAAAATCAACAAAAAAATATCCTTAAGTGAGGATTAATAATCACAAAAAAAAAAATCTGAAACTCTGAATCAAATTAAGATACCGCAGTAAGCATTAGACCCAATTTGGTATCTACATATTATAAAAGAAACCTTCATTTATGATGACTTCAGCAAATACATTCATAAAAAAAAGTCAATAAAGTATTTTTTCCCATACTACCTGGCTACAAAGCATCATAAATTAAGGCTATAGTTTTATGGTATAGTTACCATGAATCACCTAAGTTATTCATTTTCACCAGAGATTAACATGGTAGAATGAAATTTCTTTTTATTTATCTGTTTGTTAAATATACTTTACTTAGAGAGCATTTACTCCCCAAGAATTCTAAATATGGAACAAATTAAAATTCTTAAAATATATATACCTATGGCTATTTCTCATCACACTAAGTTGATAATAGATACTGACAGCAAGGTTCTACTGCACAAATATTTCCTCAATAGCAAATATTGAGGAACCTATGAGATAATATATTAACTAACACTAGAGAGCTGGTACACAAAATTTGTGTGCTGGGGGAGGGTGGTGTCCCTCAGCCCAGCCTGTACCCTCTCCAATCTGGGACCACTCAGGGGATGTCCTAAACCATCAGTCAAACATCCCTCTCACAATTCAAGACTGCTGGCTCCTAACCAGTCACCTGCCTGGCTGCCTGACTGCCCCTAACCACTCTACCTACCAGCCTTATTGACACCTAACCACTCCCCTGCAGGCATGATTGACACCTAACTGCTCCCCTGCCAGCCCAATCACCACCAACTGCCCTCCCCTGCTGGCCTCTTGTGATGATGTGGAGGTGGCCATCTTGTGACATAGGGGCATGAGGGTCAATTTACATATTACCTCTTTATTATATAAGATTTAGACATTGTTACAGAGATAAAATCTATAGCAGAACCAATTCCAAATGCTGTTTTTGTTACTAGATGACATTCTCCCACAAATAAAATGGCCTTGTAGGAACCTCAACTTTTACCAGGAATTAGGCTGCATACTAATAAAAGAAGCTACTATTAAATTAACAGCTAGTGCTACAGAAGCATATCCTTATTAGGGCAAAATAGAACTATGTTTAGCCGAAACCGGTTTGGCTCAGTGGTAGAGCGTCGGTCTGCGGACTGAAAGGTCCCGGGTTCGATTCCGGTCAAGGGCATGTACCTTGGTTGCAGGCAAAAAGGTTGTAGGGAGTGTGCAAGAGGCAGGTGATCGATGACTCTCTCTCATTGATGTTTCTAACTCTCTCTATCCCTCTCCCTCCCTCTCTGTAAAAAATCAATAAAATATATTTTTTTAAAAATAGTTCTATGTTTAATATAATCCCAAGCCTCTTCAATCATTTTCCAATTTCCTGGGAGAAAATTATCAGTGTACATTTACCTGTGTGACATTCATATACCAACTGGAAAGAGAATCCATTGAACAATGTGTCTTTTTCTGGATATCTTTTTCCTCTTCTTTGGATTCCACATCTACATGGCAGTCCATCAACTGTGAGAACAGCTTTTGCAAAAAATGTTTTATATCTGCAGTAGATAAAAGGTAAGAAAGTTTCTCTCTCCTTAAAGCAAATCTAAAACAACTGAAACATCTTGATCAATAGATTTACATTATTTGAGTAGAATGTGTTTTTCATACTTAACATTAAATAGCGTAACATTTAGCATGTTAACTATTAGTGTTCATTAGTATTCTCTCCTTAATATTGAAATTTCATTAATTGAGACTAACACTAGGCCAAAGTTTACTTGTGTTGTCAATAATAAAAGTGTTATCTAAATAAATATATTAACTATGAAAACTATTAATTACATTAGGAATAATATATATTTAAATTACTTCTGGACAGCAAAATGTTTTTATTTTATTTATTTTTTAAAGTATATTTCATTGATTTTTTTTTTTTTTTTTTTAAAGAGAGGAAAAGAGAGAGATAGAGAGCTAGAAACGTTGATGAGAGAGAAACATCGACCAGCTGCCTCTTGCACACCCCCTACGGGGGATGTACCCGCAACCAATGTACATGCCCCTGACCGGAATCAAACCTGGGACCCTTCAGTCCGCAGACCGAAGGCTACTACTGAGCCAAACCGGTTTCAGCAGCAAATGTTTTTAAAGACCCTAAAAAGATCAAAAGTGTTTATTCACATAAGCTATTTTACTGATTACAAATCTTCCTTAAAGTCATTTTTTAAGATGTTCTAAGGGCTTTTACTTCATTACAATCAATTTATGAAAGTAATATAAAGCACATAAGCACATCAGTCTAAATCTAAGCATATTTTACTCTTAGTGTCTGCATCCTTTATGATTTATTTAAAGGCTTCAGATATCCAAAGTAAGCTCTGTCAATGGACCATTTTTACCAATGGTGGCCTATCAGTGTCTTTAACTGGAAAATAAATAGACATATACCTTAGAGAAAATAGAACAATAAGATGATTTGAGCATATAAATGGAACAATAAGATGATTTGAGCATATAAATATGAGCATATGTAGTCTATTCTCTTTTGGGCTAAGTAAGAACTCCCAATTCCTCAATTCTTAGCTCTCTGTCCCAAACATTCCAACTTGAAATGCCTGGACTATTGCTGGCAGTGAAGCTATATGGCAGGAGTAGGGCTGGAATAGTGTCAAAGACGCCTCCAACTTGGGAGGCACTAAACTTCATCCTGACAAAATATAGTACCGTACTTTTCCCACAAATAAAAAGGAATGAAGAAAGTTTGAGAGACACAAACAAACAGATATGGAGAGATACACAAAGAAAGATGGAGAGACAAGGGCCTAAGAAATTGATAAGATCTCACCAAGGTTATTAAAGCATTTATACTTTACCTGGACAGTCTCTAGCTTGCAATTTAACTACATATGGAGTGACATTATGCTGAATGGCTTCTGTTAGACTTCTGAATGTAAATTCATGATCTGTTACATTCACACCTATGGGATTACACATCATATTACACCATCATTTTTATTATTAATAATTTAACATGTCAAGTGAATTGCTAAGTAAAAGTAACTTTACATGATTAATAAAACAACACTGCATAATGAAGAAATCTCCAATAATACTAGCTATCTAGAGGTACACACTATACTTATTTGTTAGGAAAGATATTTAGCACAATTTCTCTTTAAAATAAAAATTACTGGGGATGTGTAGTTGACCTTTGAAAACATCTTAGAAACATTTTGAAAACATTTCATTTCTTTGTCACATTCATTAAGAGCTCTTTAAAATAATTACTCAAAAATAAAGACAATGGATTCCAGTCTTACTGTGACCCTCACTTAACACCCGAGGAGAATCCAACCAGTAATATTATTTATGATCACAGTAATAAATATAATAGGTAAAGTGTACACTAAACTGATTTCTAAGGAAAGAGTTTAAAACAAAATTATAGTTTTTGGTCCTTTAGGTATTTACTAAATTCTGATTCTCATTTCCACACATCAGAATTTTAGTGCTATGCATTAAGTTATCAGAATTCAGTGAAAACTTCCCACTACTTTGGAAAAAATTCTATTAACTGGTAATTTCCCTAAGGTCCCAATGTGTGCTTTCTAGAAAGAGCTTTGGCACTTGGGCAGATGCCAGCAGCAGACATCCTGAAACTACTTGAGGCTTGCTACTAAAAACCTTCAATTGCTTGCAAGAAAGATTCAGAATCATCCAGACCACCAATAGTCAACATTTTTTTCCTAGGAGAGGCAACAAACATAGCTGTTGGCAGGATATTTTTAAACAGACATACACTAAAAGAAATAAATAGACATATACCTTAGAGAAAATAGAAACTGCAATGTGCTTAAGTAACTTTGAGTACAGATTTTTTTTAAGTGTCAAAGTGATATTTCTAGCATGCATTTCGGTCTATGTTTATGATACTACATCTCTGAACAAATTTAGTTTGGTAAAGCACTGGCTTATCTTGTCTGACTGACTTTGTAAGCTATTTAATACTATGTTCCTTAAGATAATGCACTCGCCTATTGGAAACAAGATAATCATTGTCTTTAACTGGAAAAAGTTTTCCTCAAACTACTGACTTTCAAACACATGATTTCCATTAGCTTCTTTTCTCCTTTTGGCATTAGGCAGAGAAGGGATTTAAACAGTGCTCTCACAACAATCTGTCAGGCCATCCCTCTTGATCCTGTTTCTCCCACTCCAATTACTATAACATGGCAATAGAGAAAGAAAGCACCCAACAAACAGTTCAAGGCAGCCATCACTGGCTTCAGTTTTTCATCCATAATGGAAGGGATTTTCAAATTAATTGGCAGGTTGCACTGAAAAGCTGATCCACAGCATTTTAAAATCATTCCACAAAGTCTTATTACTCAGAGTGGTCCTGGGATCAGTAGTATAGGCACTGGCTAGAGGCCTATTAGAAATGCAGCATTTTAGGCCCTGCCCCAGACCTATTAGTAAAATTTTGCATTTACTAAGATCCCTTAGAAGTTATTTTTAGGAACATGAAAGTTTGAGAAGTACTGCCCTGAATATTAGGTAGATAATTAACAGTATGAGGCAGTACACTTTAAACAAAATGAAAAGAAAAAAAACCTACTAATATTTCAAAGAAAATTTTTCCATTACCTGAAAGCCAGATGTTTGGGTAAGACTGAATGTTAATTATAGAAATTTAAATAACTAAGAAATTTACAGCCTGTAGTCTGAAAGCAGTTTACATATAATTCATCCAAAATTCTTTTAAACAATTACAATTAATACAATATTATGAAACAATCAAATATTTAAATAAAATAAGGAAATAAAATTAAAGTCATAGAATAAATGCACTGAAGAAATGATAAAAAGATATAAAAATAAAATACTTTAATACACTACTGGTTTCTTTATTACCAAATTCAAACTTCATCTACTTTCCTAATATAACTAAAGAAAAGAGTAACATATATATTTTCCCTTCATTTTTTTTTTTAAATATATTTATTGATTTTTAGCAGAGAGAAAGGGAGGGAGATAGAGAGCTAGAAACATCGATGAGAGAGAAACATCGAACAGCTGCCTTTTGCACATCCCCTACCGGGGATGTGCCCGCAACCCATGTACATGCCCTTGACCGGAATCGAACCTGCAAACTTTCAGTCCGCAGACCGATGCTCTACCACTGAGCCAAACCGGCTTCAGTTCCCCTTCATTTTTTCAGACAGAAAGTTGATGAGGGTACTAGCTAACTCAAATAAATTTCTTCTAATTTATAGATGTATGGTCAGTATAAAGAGCATTTATTGGTTTTGAAATTATACCTAACAAAATTGTTTTAATTCTGTAAATGAGACAAAACAGGTTTAACAGAACAGATTATTCCCCATTATTCTCAAAAACAGAGCCACCAATTTTAAAAAACAACAAACCTGTACATACCTAGAATAAGAGCAGCAGTTGGAATTTCTCTTAGTTTTATTTGACAGCCCCAGTCTCTTGAATTCTTCTGGAATCCAGAATGAGACTTTTGTAGAAATTTGATTAGACTGTCAAACAGGTTTTTATTTAATTCCTCTTGCATTTTCTACACAGAACACACAAAATTTTACAGATTATAATTAGCAATAATCTGATGTGTCTTTCAAAATTTGGGAAAGAAAACTGTCATGAATTCGATTCCAAAGATTACATGTAAAATTATAATCATGATGAAAAAAATGTATTTTTTTTTAAATTTCCAATGATTAGGGCTTTGGATCCCCTCATTAAAGAGTCTCATTTAATCATTCAACAAACACTGACTAAATACCTTACAAATGAAGAAAGATAGTCCCTACCTTAAAAAATGTAAAGAAATTGAACAAGAATGCTTAAAATGAAAATACATTGTGTAGAGTGCTATGACAATATAGGAATAAAGAGTAGGATATATCTGAGCCAAAGCATTAGAGCAGGTGATAGAGTTGGTGATGGTAGGTAAAGGAAGTTTGAATGAATGAACAGTAAAGGAGGCAAGGAAGGAAGAAAGCACCAAACAACTGAAGAGCCACAGATATAGCTAAGCATAAAGAACATGAAAAGTGGAAGGGAATGAGATTGGACAAACAAGCAAAAAGCTAGACCAAGAAAAAATATATTAGATGTTAAAGAGTTTAGATTTTATCCTGTAGGGAGAACCACTGAAGACATCTGAAGTAGAGATATGATTAAATCGGGATTAGGAAGAGTTAATCTGACAGCACTGTGAAGGCCAGTTGGCCCCAGAGCTGGAAAACTCCTGTTGCAGGACCTAAAACTGTATCTGCATGAAAGGAAGACTTTCTAATTTGGCCAATAGTGCCACAGAAACTAGCGGCGGATCTGAAGGGTTTTACACTAAAGGGTCAGTTAAGAGGATATTATGACAATCAGGTAAAGAAATAATGAGGACCTAAATTGGAAACCACAAACTCAGATATCTTCAGGGGTCACATGGAATACATGAATGAGCAAAGCCACTATGTGTAAAGCAATAAAGTGTGGTGGGAAGCAATAATTAACTGAAAAGCACATAACTGTCCCAAAGGCATTAAAAAATAATAAGAAGACTTGTGCAGCCACTGTGGAGAACAGTATGGAGTTTCCTAAAAAAAAAACTAAAAATGGAACTCCTATTTGATCCAATGATCCCACAACTAGGAATATATCCCAAGAAACTAAAAACACCAATCAGAAAGGATATATACACCCCTAGGTTTATAGTGGTATAATTTACAATAGCTAAAATTTGGAAACAGCCTAGGTGCCCAACAGCAGATAAGTGGATTAAAAACTATGGTACATCTATACAATGGAATACTACACTGCAGTAAAAAAAGAAGAAATTCTTACCATTTGCAAGAGCATGGATGGAACTGGAGAGCATTATGCTAAGCGAAATAAGCCAGTCACAGAAAGATAAATATCACATGATCTCACTTATTTATGGAATATAATGAACAACATAAACTGATGAACAAAAAACAGATCCAGAGACAGAGAAGCATCGATCAGACCATCAAACCTCAGAGGGAAGGTAGGGGAGGGTGGGAATAAGAGAGAGAGATCAACCAAAGGACTTGCATGCAGGCACATAAGCCTAACCAATGGACACAGACAATAGGGGGGATGAGGGCATAAGTTGGGGGGCTGTGGGGGTAATAGGGCAATAAGGACACACATGTAATACTTTAATAAAGAAAAAATATATACAACACTGTGTTGGTAAAAAAAAAAAAAATCTGTTAGCTCTAGAAGAATGAATCTGCTATAGTGGAGAAATTTTTCAGAGCTAGAATATAAAGTACATGGTAACTGGATATAGGATGAGAGAATGAAGTTTAGAAAGAGCTTGATTTCTTATTTGCATAACTGAATGGATAATTTGGACAGTGACAACATTTCAAAACTGTGAGGATGTGTAAAGAGCTCTTTGCCTTAGCATCTATCATTATAAACATAAGTTCCAGTACCTGAAACTATGCTTAATACTTGGAACATGAGGGTTTTGATTTTTTTAGGATATACAGATTGTGCTTAACCATATTACCAACATTTCATCAATTCTCTTGTAAACTGGTGGAAAAGAAGATAAGAAACAATAAATATGAGTTTTACAGTATTAGAGAAATGTTATTAAAAAATGTATTCACCTCAGTTTCAGATTTCATCTGCTGCCATATCACCTGATAAGTTTCAAATCGAAGCTTACTGTCCTCAGACTCATTTTTCCCTTCATTAAAATACTCCTCTGAAAACACAGAAATAAGTTAATATTTTTTATATAATGTGTGTGTGTGTGTGTGTATATATATATATCCTATCTAATAAAATAGTAATATGCAAATTGACTAACACTCCAACACACAAGATGGCTATTCCCATGTGGACACAAGATGACCGCCACAAGATGGCCAGCAGGGGAGGGCAGTTAGGAGGTACCAGGCCTGCAAGGGAGGGCAGTTGGGGGTAATCAAGCCTGCAAGGGAGGGCAGTTAGGGGTGACCAGGCTGGCAGAGGAGGGAAGTTGGGAAGGACCCAGGCCTGCTGCGGAGGCAGTCAGGGAAGGGCAGTTAGGGGTGACCAGGCTGCAGGGGAGGGCAGTTAGGAGCATTCAAGCTGGCAGAAGAGAGGTTAGGCATCAATCAGGCTGGCAGGGGAGTGATTAGGGGGTCATCAGGAAGGCAGGCAGGCAGTTGGGAGCCAGCAGTCCTGGATTGTGAGAAAGATGTTCAACTGCCCGTTTAGGCCTGAATTTCATGCATCTGGCATGAACTATGTATATATTTGGTGATAGTAACATTGATTATCTTTTATATTTAATTTTATTTATACATCTTAAATTCTTACTGTTTCTCAGAACTGTTGGATATTGAAATTGGGACTCAAACGTTTTTGTTATTATATGTTTATTTCTAGTCTGCAGCTGCAAGATATGGGGAAAAATAGTTATAGAGATAAAGAACCATTGAACAGACTGTCAAACTATAGCGGGAAGGCAAGGGAGGTTGGGATGGGGGGCTGTAAGAGATCAACTGAAGGACTTGATGCATGCATATAAACATAACCAATGGATACAAGACATAACCCACCCCCGCCCCCAACCTCTTTCTCTCTCCACAGAATACTGAGAGTTAGCAATCTTTTCTTAGACAGATGGTGGGCACAATGCAAAACATCTTCCTACTTATTAAGGCAATCTTGTTTCAAGAACAAAAGCCATAAAGTGCTAAATTCTGGATGTTTTCCTCATTTCTGGTCCATCTGTCTTCAAATTAGGGTCAATTCCTCTAAGATTTTCATATTAAAACAGTATCTGTTGGTCTTAGATCAGCACAATGGGAAAAACCTTATATAACTTAAAGTTCATATTATACAACTGTACACATTAGGTTTACTAATACTAAAAACTTTAAACAAATCTTAATAAATTATAGCTGAAATTCAATACAAATGTTCTAAGCAAAAACTCAATTCATATTTTGAAAGTAATAGTTAGACCATGGATTCGAAAATCTGTCAGCTTGGGTTTAAACCCAGCTCTGTCACTTACTATAGCAACATCATTGAAAATTCTTCATGCCTAAGTATCCCCATTTGAGATGTCCTAACAAAAGTATGCACTCTTGTGACCACCCCCGCAAATCTAGGGAACATTTTTCTCACTTCAAAAAAGTCCCTATTGCCCTTTGGAAGTCAATACCCCTACTTCGCCCCAGAAAACCACTAAGATTTTTAGAACAATCTCTTTTAAAAAATGATGACATGTCCTTAGAAGGAAATTTACTTTTCATTTTGCCCTTTGTAAGCCATGCTTAGATAAGAGAAGTACTAAATTCAATTAGGGGTAGAAAACTAAGAAATTTGATATTAAGACATCATACCTATTGGCACAGAGATCTTTCTCTTCTTGAAGTTTGGCTTAAACACAAAACAGCCCTATTGGAAAAAAAAAAAAAAAAAAAAAGGCATAAAGTCAAAGTAGCCAAGGAGCAGATAAATCCGTTAACTAAATATTTTATGGATCAGCAGATTTTTTTTAAAAGGGTATTTCTTCAAGTGCTAAGATAGCTCTTTTCTATATGAGTTACAGGAGGAAAATTCTTAAACAATACAAGGACTATCCATTTCTTTCTCTTCCTTCTCATGGGATATTCATCTTTGATTATGTTCTTTGGGACCTGATCTAAGAGACAAAGAAAATAAACTCTGATGAAATTTGAATGCAGAAAAATTCCATTTTTATAAAATTTAGAGAAGAAAGAACATTGGTGGTATACATTAAAATGAAGATCAAGAAGATATAAAATAGTGATGCTTTCCATCTCAAAAGAAGTATCTGTTATTTAATTAAACTTCAACCATTAGAAGCATGATGGGAAATAGATCATTTGGGCTATTGTTTCACCTTTCTTCATCTTATAAATACATATTCATTTATCCATTACAGATTAACTCAAACTCAGCCACTCTAGTTAGAATTACTCCTTCTCCTAAGATCTCACAGGACTTGAATATCTTTATTTTTAATTACTTTCACTCTGCATCATAGTTATTTAGTTTGTCTCTCTAACTAGTTTCTGAGTATTTTCAGAGCAGAGATTGCATTTAGTTCATGATCATTTTCCCAATGTTAACATATCCATTAGGCAAGCAGTATTTTATCTAATAAAAGAGTAATATGTAAATTGACCATCATTCCAACACACAAGATGGCCGCCCCCATATGTTCAAAGATGGCTGCCCCCATGTGGACACAAGATGGTCACCACAAGATGGCTGGCAGGGGAGGGCAGTTGGGGGCAACCAAGCTGGCAGGGGAGGGCAGTTAGGGATTACTGGGAAAGCAGGGAAGGACAGGTGGCGGGGGGGGGGGGGGGGGGGGGGCACCAGGCTTGCAGGAGAGGGCAATCAGGCTGGCAGGGGAGCAGTTAGGCATCGATGAGGCTGGCAGGGGAGTGGTTAGGGGGTGATCAGACTGGCAGGCAGAAGCAGTTAGGGGCAATCAGGCAGGCAGGTGAGCAATTTGGAGCCAGCAGTCCTGGATTGTGAGAGAGATCTGTCAGCTTGGGTTTAAACCCAGCTCTGTCACTTACTATAGCAACATCATTGAAAATTCTATGATTAGAATTTTAGAGGATGCAGGCTGTGCTGAGGAATCACCCCCATGCACGAATTTCGTGCACCAGGCCTCTAGTATAGAATAAATGCTTGCAAAGTAATATCCCTGGTAATTTCCTAGCTACATTTAATTTCATGTTATTATTTGATTAGTGATATTTAGTCCCCAGGCTACTGGTCCTATGTTTATTCTCCCAATCCTAAAGCATGGTCAGCTTCTTAAGATTGCCATTTCTGTGGAAAATGAAAAAGTAAAAAAAATATAGGTGTCCCCCCAAAAATGTATATACACTTTAATAACTGATAACTCAATTTTGAAAATATACTGTATGTTAATAAACATTGACTTTACAATTAATCAAAGTGTGTATATCTTTTTTGGGGGATACCTGTGTATCTAGAAAAAGTCATCTCATGACATTTGCACTGCTAAAGACAGCAGTGCAAATATAAAGTGGCCATTTGGATTACAGGATCCAAAGTGAGAACTTTGCCCTATATACTCTTGTATCTGCAGCTAGTGGAAATACATACATATTTAGAAAAAATCATGTGGTATCACAACAAGCTTGTTACTACCTTCTTTCTATATCTATCTGCAATCAGTAAAGGAAAAGGAGCTTTGAAGGAGTGAAATACACTATCATGAAGGAATCCTAATGTATGGCAGTGGGAGTAACATGATTAACCACTTTGAACTCCTGATCAAGGAATGGTGTTTGAGATGAAGGAAGAAGTCTAGGAGGACAGCCAACAGCAATATGATAAAAAATAAAAATAAAAGAGAAGTTTAGATAGGATGGGGGAAAATAGTCTAAAGATTCTTATTCATGTCAGGGTCCCTTCATAATCATCTCAATACAAGCATTTCGGTTATAAGGCCATAAGTGCTTTCCTGGGGGTGGGGGAGAATTTCACAATTCTGCAAGATATACAAAAATAAGAGGCTTGCCCTGGCTGGGTGGCTCAATTGGTTGGAGCATCCTCCCATACACCAAAAGGTTACAGGTTCAATTCCTGGTCAGGGCACATATCCAGGTTGTTGGTTTGATCCCTGATCAGGGTGGGTATGGGAGGCAACCGATTGTCTCTCTTTCACATTGATGTTTCTTTCGCTTTCACACCCTTCCTTTCTCTAAGAACCAATAAAAACATATTCTCCAGTGGGGATTAAAAAAAAATAATACGAGGATTATGCAACAAAAAGGATCAGAAGGCAGACCATCCAAAATCTATGGAACTACACAACAAGGGCAAAACAAAAACAGTACCAATCCTAATAAATTTTTAAAATATAGTAGCAGTTAAATCTCTTCTAGCTTGTACCTAGGAACACAGTTAGTCCTTTGTAAACTTAACCCTAAACTTGTAGCTCCTCCTTGATATATAGTCTTGGAAGGCACTGTGCTCATAATTTTGTTTTAATCAAAATTAAAAATTAGATCCATGGTGTAGCCTTCTTCATTAATTTGGTTTTATACAGAGAAATGTCTTTGGAGCTTCTTCATCTGCATTTTCAGCTTTATCAGACAGCTTAATGTAAGGAACTTCTAGTTGCACTCATATCACTAAAGGTCTGTCTATAACAGTGCTATAGTGGCCTGAACTGGACCTGGAGCCACGACCTCAGTAACGAGGGAAATACAAAAAATCTGCACTAAGATGTAGTCATATTAGCGAGACTGAGGGACTAAACTTTTAACTTTATTTTCATTTAAATACCCACATGTGGCTAATGGCTACCACACTGGGCAACAGAGCTCTAAAGTTTATCTTCTTACCAACTATACTATGTCTTGCAGTCCCTGGCCATCTAAGCAGCCAGTATGAGAGGATCTATATGATCTCCTCACACACACTCTTTACACTACTTTTCATTAGTTTTCGTAAGGCTTCCTTTTCTATTTCTACTTTCTAATTATACAAACTTTTCAATTCCTTTATTAAATATGCCATTTTATTTCTATCTTCTAAACCAAAGAACATAATCTCTTTGCTAACACCCTCCACTCCCCAATCCTTTACCTAACGGTCTCTCAGTTTGTGGTCAGCTCATCTGTGTTTAATGTGTTTCTTCAGCGCAAACACTGAGTCTATTTTTGTTAACCCCTGCATCCGGGTACCTCATGGAGTGTTGGGCACAATCACCATTGGGGAAGGCCGAGATCGGGTGACTGGGGCACATCCTCCGGACGGTCGCCCTCCACAAACCAGAATTTAGAAATCCTCAGACCTCGCCAAAACACTAAGGCAGGTGGACGTCTTCGCTCCCCAAACAAGGTTGGCCTGAACTGGACCTGGAGCCACGACCTCAGCTCCCACCGCCACACCTTCCCCTGCAGTCGGTACACCTAGGCCCTCGTACCCTCCGCTTCCTGCCGTCCCCGAGAGGGGATGAGGCTGCGGCGGAGTCTCAGTGGTCGCCCGCCCCCGCGTACCTTGGACACCGAGGAGGTGGCCATGGTCCCGGCGGCAGGATGGACTCCAGAAACTCAGGATTTCCCGCGCTCCTTCGCGGCAGCAGGGCAGAGGTTAGTGACGAGCCACTGGGCTTCTTGATTGGCTGGCATCACTCTGGAGGCGGGCTTCCGGCGCGTGGAGGCGGGGCTTAAGAGGAGGGCGGGGCGTGGTTCCATCGGAGCTTTAGCGGTTCCGGGACGCTCTACGTGGAAGTAGACATGGCGTGCGGCTTCCGCAGGTCCATCGCCTGTCAGGTACGGTCCCAGGAACGGAGCCCCGCACCCCCCAAAGCCGTGTCACCGCTGCGGGCCTCCCCAATACCCCGTTTATTGCTGCCGCTCCCTCACCGTCGCCTGAAGATGCTTCAGCTACTGAGGCAAACCCAGGGGACGGTCGGGCTTGCATGCGGCTCAGCTCAGCTTTCAGGGTGAAAAGTAAACTTGGCAAGGCACGGGTTGCTTCCCTCCAACCTTCCTACCCTACAGCTTTATCGGGTGGGAAAGTCACGGGGGCCATGATTAGAACCCACAGAAATTGACATTGACCTAGTGAAATCAAGAGGCTTTGGCTACAATGAATGATAAAAAAAAAAAAAAAAATTCATTCAAGGGTCTTAGGGTTCGTAAACCGAATAGCAGTGCGGTACCAAAAGTGTTCTGAAGAAAGAAAAACTGAGGGTTCTTACAGAAGAAAGGAAGTTCTTGGAAAACAGGTCTGCGTTCTTGCCCTCGGAACTCTTAGGACAGTGTTTCCCAAACTTCTCTCATGATGAGAGTCACCTGGTGGAGTTGTTAAAGGACAGATTCCTGAATCCCAACTAAGAAGTGCTAAACTAGAATTTTGGGGAACATATAGGTAAAATTGTATACTTAACTAGTGCTCTAAGACAGAGCACTAAGTTAAAATATTCTTGGGCGTATCAAAAGGTTGAGATTCAGGAATCTGTAGTTTAACAACTCCACCAGGTGATTCTCATCATGAGAGAAGTTTGGGAAACACTGTCCTAGGATATAATTAGTCCTGCTTGTTGACAGGGAGGGCACCTGGTGTGTTTCCCTAAGCAGTGGTTCTCAAGCCTTGGCTGCAGACTGCAATCACCTGAGGACCATTAAAAAATGTCCAAGCCCAGGCCCCCGCGTTAGGGGCCCGGGGAGGAGATGCGGGGGGGAGGGTCTTTGAAACTCTATCAGGTGATTTTGTTGTTCATCCAGGCCTGGTAACTACTAACCAAGGAAGACCCGGAGGCAGAAAGGTGTAGTGCAGTGGTCCCCACACTTCTCTGCACAGTACCATCAGCACAAGAACTTATTAGCATCCTGTTGCTCACATCACATCCTGCGCTAGTTAAATCAGAATATTTGCATCAGTGTTTTCTAAAGATCCCTGGGTCATTACAAGGTGCGAGCCATTGGTATAGTGATTAAGAATACCAACCATGAGGATATGTGGGTTTAAATCCACCTTCTCTGGTAGGCATGTAAGTTCCCTGTCACTCATTTGTAAAATCTGGAAATTTATTTAGCTACTTTATAGGGTTGCCATTAGGATTTAGTGAATTAATACGTATATAGTGCTTGGGTTTGGTACATGGTATACACTCAATAAATATTGTTCATTCTGTTAAGTTAGAATGCCGAGGACCGTATTTTGAATCCCCTTGCTACACTTCTGATGTGGGAATCTAGTTATACATTACTCTCAGTGAATGCTTTAGGTCACCAGAAAGCTACGTATCTGAACCTTAACTTAATTTTCAATGAAAATTTCTTAGCAATGCTTTTATAAAGTCAGGAAAAAAGAAGGAAGGAAGATAGAAAAACTGGGTAGATATGCTTTTTATAAAAATTGTAATGAGTTTTTATTTTTAGGTTTGTTTGCTTCTTTAAATGTGTTATGATGAAAAATGTCAAACTACTAAAAGTGTTAGGATTCCCTAGGTACACATAACTGAACTATTGTTTTAAATAAAGAAGTATTAAACATAGTTTTGCTTGAACTTAATGAAAGAAAAACCAAAGTGCAATGGAAAGAATTATTGATGTATTTTCTACTTGAGTCCTCTGCAGTTAAGAGATTATGCAGAATAATAAGTTATTCTAGAATGTTTATTTAAAATCTTGATGTTTCATGTTTAGAAAATAACCCCTGGCATGAGTGATGAGGGCATTAGAATTCTTATAGTTGGCATAACTTTCCTCTACCATTCCTAATTTGTTTGGGTAACTTTCTCATTTGTAACACTCATAGTCTGTTTATTAGCCATATATGCACAACTTGTCTGCTGTTCACTTTATATTGATTTGAATGAGATGTTGACCAATACTTTTCCTGGTTACATAGCTTAATTGGCTGGATTTCTTTATAAGTAGGCTTTTCAAGAAGGGCTCATTGGTTGCCTCATGGTGCTTTATTTTTTTTCAAACTTTACTTTAAAAAAAAAGAAATTATGACTTCTCAGATAAAATAATCTTGGATGTATCAAAAGGTGTAATTATTTTAAAAAATTAGCATGTTTAGAAATATCAAAATAGATTCAGAAATATAAAAAAAAAATCTTCATTTTAGAAATAAAGCAGTAACAATATTGTTTAGTTCTGATTTTGAATTTTCCAAAGACTTATACCATAGATGCAAATGCATACAACAATCCAATGTTATTTTTTAAATTTCCAATTTTCATATGTTGGCAACTAAAGCGAACTATAAACAACTGAGCAGTGAAACAAATATGCCCATCTGCAATTTTTCTAGTGGATTATGTAGTCCTATATAATATCATTGCTAAGTTATTTGCTTTAACCATGTGATTAGGCAACATGAATACAAAGTAAAGTTCTTCTTTTCATCTCTAGATTTTTGATTGGATGCTTTATTAATGAAATATTTAATCATGGAGAAGAAAATAGATAATATTCATGTACCCATTACTAGTTGGGATGCATTCATAGATTGTAAGTGACATGCACAGATATGGTAAATACAAAACCTTTTAAATTTTATTATTATTTTTTAATCCTTATCTGAAGGTATTTTTCCATTGATTTTTAGAGAGTGTGGAAGAGAGGGAAAGACAGAAATCTAAATGAGAGAAAAACATTGATTAGTTGCCTCCTGCTTGTGTCCCGACCAGGGCCCTGGCCAGAGAGGAGCCTGCAACTGAGGTACATCCCCTTGACCCGAATGGAACCAGGAACCCTTCAGTCTTCAGGCCAACACTCTATCCACTGAGCCAGACCAGCTAGGGCCAGTTATTAAATTTTATATAAGTGGTAATCAAACTGATTATCCTTCTGCAACTTGGGTTTTTGTTTGTTTGCCTCAAATTTTAAAAAATATTTATTATAAAGAGTATGGAGGTTTAATTCATTTTACTGCCAATGGTGTGCCATTGCCATAATATACCACAATATAGATTTGGTTCTTTATTTCAGGACGTTTTTTTCTGTTATTGAATATTATGCCCTATTTTCTCCCATCACTTGGTCACACCTGTGATTCCAGCTGCCACTTGTGTGAACAGTTTCACGTGTGCTCCCATTCCTTATTGCTAACAGCATCCCATTCTGTTTTTGAAAGGCTGCTAATCTCAGCCTATGGGCTCAAGTGTGGTGGAGTTAATGTCAAGGACAGTTCTCAATCAATGGGGGATGGAGGCTCCTGCTTTCTATTTTTGGATGGACAGTTTTGGTGGGCATCGTGTATGCTTCTTAGGAGGTAGTAAGTAATGGAAATTAAGCCCCCATTGCCTATAGTAGTGGCTTTGATGGCACAATCTTATATTTGTTCTTTCTCCTTCTCTTTTCCTCTCCTCGGATCACTTCTACCCTCAGGAATCGCCTCCCAAATAAACTGTCTACATACAATCCTTTTATCAGGCCCTGCTTTTGTGGGGAGCCAAGATATATATATCAACAAACACTTTTAAATTTTCTTAGGTTTTGTTGATTCATTTCTATGGCTTCTGACAAGTGAGACCAAGTTAATATCTTCCCTTGGCTATCACTTTTTGAAGAGTGGCTTTGAGTTTTGTCTCTGTCCTTCCGTCTTTGCTACTGGAGAACCAGTGTACCTATAATCCTGTCCTCTTGTTTCTTCTACCTTTTTTATATTTTAGGGGCATCAAATATACTAAGGATGGATTATCTTTATGCATTTTTATATTGCTCTGATTGCTTTATTTACAGATCTTGAAGCATTTATGAAGAATGTTTTTGTATTTACTGGGCTATATTTTTCTTTCAGACTACAGTTCTTTGATCTCCTATATACCACATTCCTTCTCTTCTGTAATTTTCTTTTCCTTCCTCTCTTCTCTGCTTCACTTCTCTCTGTTTGCCTATTTGTGATGTTTATTCTTTCTCATCTTGCTCAGGCTTGTCAGTTCTGTCCAAACTCTATATTTGTTCCTGCTTTGTATGGATGACTTCTTCACTCTCCATTTCAGATTTATTCGTGGCTCACCTCACTTTTGTGGTTACAAAAATATAAACTCCACAGCTCCCCATTCCCCTTTTGTCTCTCCAGTGATCGTGGTCACTTGTAAACATATTCTTGAACTCCAACTTAGCATATTAGATTTCTACTAGCTAGCCCTGCTATTTTTCCATCTGCCCATAAAAGTTCCTTTTTTCTACCCATGCAACACCAAATCAAGATTTACTTCCTGTACTTTGGGAATGTGTTGTGTTTCTACTAGAATCTGCACTTAGGCTGGAAGGTGCTGAAATTCACTTCTCTTTATACTTTTTCTCTCCTGAAACTCTGTAGCATCACCTATTCAATGGAAAAAATATAATGGAATTTATTCAATTTTTTTCTCTCTCCAGATTTGGGGTATTAATGAGAATTGTTAATTCAAGTTAGGAACCTTGCCGAACAGGCTGCATCCATTCCTCTTCAGAATCTGCTATATCTTTCCTTGGCTATTACTTTTTAGTTTATATCTTTGGACTGTGCCTAGCTGTTGTATTTGTTAACCTACAAATAACCTACATACTTATTA